TAAAAGTAATAAAAGTGCTTTCTACTTCGGAAAATGCCGTGTTTTCGAATAAAGGGTTGTCAAAAAATGGGGTTAGATTGTATAATGATATGAACAAAATAAAATCCCAGCAATGATTTATATTCTGGCACCTGATTGTAGCATATTCTCAATAGAATATTCGTGCTTCATTATTTCCTTTGTACATCATGAAAATTGCCAATTTATGTGTTAACAGTATGATGGACAGGAAAAAATTGTCTGTTGTCTGGCCGCACCATATTCACAACGGAATTGCATGACATATATAAAATGCCAACTCAACGTCATGTGACATTAGTAAAGTGTAGAATAAATGCCAACAACTATCCCTGACTAGGGCATTGTTTTAAGCAAAGTAGTATCATATGCTCTCAAATACGTATCGTATACATTTTCATCAAATGTCCTTTCTTTGATATCTGTTTGATTGTTTTGAATTCTCTTAGGGTGTACTTTCTTTTTCAAGAAATTAGATTTTGTATGTTAAAGGAAATCCAATGAAATTAATAGAGATTTCCTACATAGATCCACTGGGGCACTTACAAAAGAAATATATTCAAAAATAACTAAGTTATATACTCAGAAATAAATTAAAGATCGTATTTTGTTATTGTGTTAGTCCGGTTTGAGTGAAAACACGTCTTAACGTTCTTTAATATTGTGTCATTTTTTCGCAATTTGAGTAATTATCCTGGTAAAAACGGAGTGAGCGACTGAACTGACATTTTGCATATAGGTTTCTAGTGTAGAGAACATTTAACTCGGAAACATTTTTTTTTTTCAATTTCTGTCAGGTTAAAATACCTCAGTTTAATTATGTTTTACTGTTTTTCAAGGTGATAATAAAGAAAATGATAGAAATTAGCTGACTAAAAATGTAATGAAAAAGTAACTATTTCAGTAAATCTCGATAATATGTAAGTTTAAAGAATATTAAAAATATGAAAACATTTTTACGTTAACATGTAAAACATTGTCATAAGTAAATGTCTTGACGTTTCCTACTAAAGCTGAACATTAGCGTAATTTATTATGATTATGTGATTTTGAAAAAAAAGTATGCATCCATAAGGGACATCAGGGAGTCGAAGCAAACCCGGACCTCTGTGGATAGTTCCGGACATCACTCATTTTCCTCTGCAATAATCACATCAACAATTTAACAAAAACATGAAGGGAATGTCGTAAAATTAATTAGGACAAATGGAAGACAAAAAATGTTCAATATTATTTAAATGGCACCTGCCGATTGAATTGCATCAGCGTGAATTATTGATAAGCCTGAGGATAATATTAATTATTCTTTCAAGTGTCTAAATATTTTTAAAGACATCGCGAACCAATTTTCGTCTACAAAATTAAAATCATTACGTTTTGGAAACAAATTTTATAAATCCAACCCAATTATTTTCTGTTATGCGATGTAATAAATTTCATAATTTCTTCAAATATATACAGACAAACATAGCAAAATCATAAAAGCATTGCTATTATTAAGTTAATACTATATTGACATATGATGTAGGATTTATTTATGTGTGTATTGCGTGCGTGCGTATGTGTGTGTTTTCGAGTAACTTACATACCAAAGCTAGAAACAGATTCGTAGGACAAAGGAAATGATTACATGTGTACTCTCCAAATTCAATCTTTGATTAAAATAAACATCTGTTTTGTTCTTCACTGACATTCACCCAAGATTTTGTATAATTTTAAGCAGATGTCCTTAAACAGTTGTTTCAAACAATTGTTACATTTTTATTTTTAGAAATAGAACATATTGCGAAATTAAAACAATTTTGCAAGAGTGACAAGATTCTTTTCATCATTTCTTAATGTTAATCTTGCCAAATAAAATGCTCAATGGCAACAGATAAATATTGTCATTATGCATTAGTGTTTTGTTGCAAAAAGGGCAAATAAAACATGTGTACCTTTATAAAACATTATATCTGTTTATTCAAGTTGGTTTTTATATTTTATGTATACTAGTTTTATTTATTTCCTTAACAATATCATGGTTACTATTGAACATATGTTTCAAAAATATATTGTTTCTGGTTAAGCTGGGTTAAGTATTTTTATTTTGTTGAACACAATAATAACACTTGTGAACCATTGGAGAACAAACAATTATTGTCGAGGGTAAAAATAGAGACTGAAATATTTCTAAGGCATATAAAGAAAATAATATCAAGAAGCCAGACCAAAACCACATTTTGAGTATTGAACACGATTAATTTCAACAAATGACAACACATATTGATATGCCATACTTTTTTTACATCAAAAACGTCAAGAAATAGGGGAAAAAGCCATTGTGACTTCAGCATAGATGGCACAAGTATAATACATTTCACTAGCATCAGCTTTCTCATTTATAAAGTTTGTCACTGAGAAAAGTCAACGGATTTAAAACATCTCAAAATATTTTATTGATGAATGATCAGAAAAACTTTACAAAGTCGAAGCAGAATCTATTGCTTAAATTTGTGTCAGTGACAAGATTTTCAGTGAACCTTTGCAACATGCATTTTTCATATCATTCCAATTTTAGAATATGAAAACAAGCTAGTAAAAACAAACCAATTAAATATTCTTCAATTTCAAAACCACCTGCTAAATGCACAGTAGGGCGTGAATTATTGATGCCCAACAATTTTTAAGAATTGACAAAGTGAATGTATTACGTTCATGAAATACGGCATTGAGATGTTTGAATTGAATTTTGAATATCAGGTAGACCACTGATATTTTCATGACTACTTGAAAGCTATGTAAAAATATAATAATGTACATAGATTAAGTAGGAAGCTTGGAAACCTTTTTTGAAACTCTCTCTGTAATCACTACTTAACAGATTTTATATAAATCGTAACAAAACATTAAATATATAAACTAAAGTATACATATCATTTCAACTTGTGCTTGCTTTCTTACGTATACGTACTATCTTCATAAATAAGTATTCATTAACTAAATTTTAAGATTCATAATGTTGGTGGAGGAAATAGTGTTTTGTATTTTCGATTTCGATGATAATCATGTTACAGTTGTATCATAAATTATCAATCTAATATGTGTTCTACTGTTGTAAAGTAATCAATAGTTTAAAGTAATTTGTTTATATTTCACGTCATCAACAATTATTTACACACTGTGCTCCACTTCATTCATTGTTTGCAAATGCATCAAATCATTATAGAGCTCATCAACAATGTCAACAGTATGAACATGATTTAAATTGGTTGGATAATCTGATCAAATATAGCTGGTGATAAAGGGGTATCTGGTCATTCATGGCTGTATATTATGTATTACTTAAGATTTGGTATTTTCATGGCAATTTTAACATGTAAGAAGACTTTAGTTAACATTGTATTTACAGTGAGTGAAATTATTCAACGTGTGTATTGAAAATGTACTCGTAAAAAAATCCAATACATTATTGTTCACCTTTTGATTTTGTAATTTTCCCCTTATTCTAAAGTGATATTAAATGGTTTTATCATGTTTTCTGTTGTTTATAGTACGTAGGTCAGGGTACTAAAAAGATAAAGCAATTTATCCTTGCCAAAAACAAATATTATTAATAATTATAACAATAATAAAACTACGGATAAATTTGTTACATGTACATGTATCAGTTAATTCAAAGCAGTGTTTGCATTTGCCGAGATATAATTACTTATCACTAATTACAATCACGAAAAGTCGAAAGAACGATTAAATTTAGTGTTTTCACCACCGTAATTTCGGACCTTCACCATCGTCCTTTCGTTGGTTCGACTTTTCACCATCATATTGTCGACTTTTAACCATTGTATTTTTGACATATATCATCATCGCAAATTCAACTTTTCTTCATCGTGGTTTCGAGTTTTTGTCGAACGTTCGTGGTTTTGTGTGCGAGTTATGCCTGTGTCTCGATGGCACTCACGGGGCACCGTGGGAATATACAGGCTCTAATTAGTCTTAGATTATTTGTACATTTATTTTCAATGCCATAAATACTCTTGCACAGAACCACTCGTTTTCCACATATCGATCTTAACACATGGAAAAATAAACTTTGAAATCGAGATATGATACAAATTCAAATTCATTTATCTGTTCTTGTTTATCAAAATTTATACGATTATTTACTCTCCTGATTTTCACATGTAATTGAATGCAAGTGTCAATTTCTCAAAATTGTGAGAAAACTATACATTTATTATTGCAAATAGCCTGAAATTCACACTCAAATAAGGTAATTGATATAGAATTGGTATTAAGTTTTGAATGAAAAGAAGAAAAAGAAAACAAATAATTTCATTATCTCAGACACATTGACATTAAGTATGTTCTAAAATGATTATTGAATTTGCTATGTTGATTCTCATAAATCATTTCATCTTGAAAACACTAGTTATATAACATGATTCGCTATGATCAGTTTATCGGTAAAGTACATATAAATCTATGACGAATATTAGTAATTTGTTGCTCACCAGAAAATGTGCTGCATTGCTTCTGCAAACGCTGAGACAGCAAGTAGACGTTATCAATTTTAACATTTTCTCTTTTGATACCTTCTTTTACACCTTTAATATTACCACAATAAGGATGTTGCACATAATAGTTTGCCCGCGTGGCATGATCGCCTTTTGGATCGACAATGTGTTTTTGTGTACATCCTGAAAACTACTTACACTTTTTCAAGTATTTTTCCAATGATATAAAGATCTGGATACGATGTGATCTTCGGAAGCATTAATCACAACAAAATTACATGAAAATTGCACACTCGGTTTGATTGAGTCTGCACATGGGTTATAATGAAAAGTACAACATAATCCATCTTAAACTGTAGTCTTTTTTTCAAAAGCATACCTTTTATCACATGTTCGACATTTAAAAACTATGGATTTCTGAGGCATAATGTGCCTTGAAAGAAACAAAAAAATCAACTCGCGATCCAAAAGAGGAGTCACGTGCATTTTATAATTTTGCCATTGTATTCTCTGTGAACTTTAAACACCACCTCGGGTAAGTACACATATTTGGTTCATAGTAACATATCACAAACACAGATTGTCAAATGCTTATAGGTCACACCAAACACATTTTAGAAATGTTTCATGTCTTCTTATTCACAGACTCGTATTCAAATTTCGACTGATGAAAGGATTAGCGCCAGGTGCATCATAAAAATGATTATAAAACAACAAGTTAATAAAAAATATATTAGTGAAAGCTACAGCTATATAATCTATATAATAGTAAAATAAGAAAATGGGTCGAAGCTGGACTGACCGCCGGTGATATGTACAATGGTTGGATTTGCGTCACATCGCTGCATTATCATCTTCAAAAGTGAAAAGAAACATCTCTGTAGTAAAACAAAAGCTTAATTTCATGAATAACCGACAATTACAGTTTTCTCATACCGGAGGTCAACATAACCTGGTTCAAACTCAGAATAAAACATGTTCTGATCGCTGTGAAATTCCATCACTGTTACAGCGAGGAGCAATGACGGGCCATCTTTTACCGCCAAGAATGAAAGAATGAATCAAATTCCTTAGTTTGAATATCAAGTAATTGGGTATAAATGTGAAAATGAAGCAGGAATTCCGTAATATTTAATGTACGTCAATGCAGTATGTGGCCGAAACGTGTAAAATGTAGTTAAACGAATTTATATATCTTTAAACCATCTGATACATCATCCAGTGCTAAAAGACTTTCAAAACGCTTAATATTTGTATAATTTGAAATCACGTAATGTTCTAAAGATTTCCATAAATTTGGTTTGACTGCGTGATTTTCTGGAACAGAACGAATTGAAAATTGTTCTTTTGTCTTGCATAATTAATTACTAAAGTTGATATTTGCTGTTAGGCACCGTCTCAGAATATTACCCTGCTGGTTCCATAGGTGATCGACTTTTGCCACGAGTATTAAGCCAGGTTAGCTTGCATATGAGCCGCGCCATGACAAAACCAACATAATGGGTTTGCGACCAGCATGGATCCGCGCAGTCTGATCAGGATCCGTGCTGTTCGCTTACAGACCCTATTACAAGTAGAGAAACTGATAGCGAACAGCATGGATCCTGATCAGACTGTGCGGATGCGCAGGCTGGTCTGGATCCATGCTGGTCGCAAACCCATTATGTTGGTTTTGTCGCGACACGGCTCAATTATCTGTATTGTCTGACCAAGCTATCTATTGATGGTCAATAATGGTCAATCTCTTTTGAAGCCCCTACTTCAAAAGAACGTGTGACCTGATTCTATGCATCTGTTATTCTTTTATTAAGATAAGATTTTCATGGCTGTAAGATCTTCATGGCTGTTACCTTTATTCCAGTTTCGTTTTTAAGGCATCCAAGGAAAATTCCGCTGAAACATGACTGGTTTAAAAACGCCATTGTCGAATTCAGCTATTGGGGTGTAGGACGGTATGGTGTCACATTCGTTCATGACCTACAAACATAATAGCTAATAAACCTAAGAGTGTAATATCATAGTTTGGAGACCTTTCTGTTGAAAATGTATCATAGTTAACTCTTATACATATACATGCACAGTGCGTTAATTTGAGTGCAGATATAAGTTACCTGCACTCCATAGCATGCCCATTGACTGGCTCTTTTTTGCATGGGTTTACTTATTGTGACGGCAGAGAAAGGGAAAGCGAAATGCTCGTTCATTGGTTACTTTTTCTTGGGGTTCATAATTTGACAACAGGGAACGTGTTTTTTATGTTTGACAATGATACAAGAGAGAAAAACATCAAAACACTCGGCAATCTAATCAATACTCGGGGGCTTAGTCCCCTCGTACAAATCAGTAGACCTCGTGTTTCGATGCTCTTTCTGTGTTTTCGTTACTTTTTATATAACAATGAAAACTTGTTTATTGACACGTAGCAAGCTAAATATTGTAAATAGTCGCCCTCATCTTTTAAAACAAGTAATAAGTACTGACACAAAAGCTGACAGTGTACATGATCAGACGACGATGGGTAGAGTCTATTGCCGAAAGATTCAGAGTTAGTATATTTCTTTGAAAATAAAAATAGCATAACAATTTAGTTATCGATTCTTATTGCAACGTCTGAAATTTATGATATCGAAAAGAAATGTAACATGCCGAATAAAATTGCTTTATTTTTGGATGTGTCGTATGTAGAGTGTTTACTTACCCTGATTCCTTGTTTCCACGATGACGTGTTATTGACGTCACAGTATGTAAGGACGTAAGCTTCAGGAGACGAATGTCTACCGGAAGCACACTCGGATGCATTCTGATTAATTGCAGTGACATTTCCAGCGACTCGAAACACAGAGTTGTACTTATCACACGTATGGTAAGCTGTAAAAAAGCAACACCATTCTGAATTACAGATGATGACGTCATGACAAGAATGGTATTAAATACTTAAATGGTTTATTTAGAAATATTGATTGCAATCATAAACAATAAATTATTTGATATGAACTCTATCATAATTTGAAGAAATAATTCATAAAATAACTCTTTAGATATAATATTTTTCGTCGAAGGGTTTGTACTTTATTTAGATATATGATAATAATTTTTGCTTATATTTTGTTTACATGTATTACCAGAAGGAATGACGTAATAAGTCTCTTAAAATTTTTGGGGGACTGGGTTTTTTTTAATATCTTTGCTGGATTATCTTTATTCATCTAAATTATAAAATTAATTATAAATAAACTATTTCATTTTTAATTTTTTAACAATTTTTGTCAATATGGGACAGTTTGTATATAACAATTAAAGATATAAGAAACTCTACAATGTTTGACAAAACACTTTGTTGCTTGTCACTTAACTGTTTAACAAAGTATGTGATCAAGGCACATTATATATGAAAAGAAATATGAAAAAAAGTGATCTTATCGGTATAACCTTAAATTAGAGTAGGTAAAGTGTGTTTAAGTATTTTGTATTGGAAACACATTTTTGTGAACGTTTTGCTACATTTTTGAAAATTAAAAACCACAATCTACATTTTCTTTCACGAGAACCTAGATATCATCTTGCATGAAAACATTCTTGCAGAAAAGAAATGAGCCGTGTCACGACAAAACCAACATAATTGGTTTGCGACCAGCATTGATCCTGACCAGCCTGCGCATCCGAGCAGACTGATCAGGATCCATGCTGTTCGCTATCAGTTTCTCTACTTGTTATAGGGTTTGTAAGCAAACAGTATGGATCCTGATCGGACTGTGCGGATACGCAGGCTGGTCTGGATCCATGCTGGTCGCAAACCCACTATGTTGGTTTTGTCGTGACGCGGCTCAAATGTATTCATTCCTGAGACATAATGTTCCCATTCTTTGCGTATTTGATATTTTCATACATGGGCGGATAACTTATCTTTCTTGATCAAATGAACTTTAAACCAAACACTGTTCGCTCAAAATCACCTGCATCTGTGCTAAAATATACCGAACAAAAATATAATTACGCTGACATAAGCTGCCATGGTAACCATTTGGGCATTCGCAATGGAAACTGTCTTTCCTATTTTCACACACTCCGTTGTTTTGGCAAGGAGAAGATGAGCAAGGCTTTACTGAAAGTAGTAATTATACGTATCCTTATATATTCTGCTTTTTTTCATGATTTTTTTATCTTAATATAATATGATGAACTCGACACCATTTTACTTCTGATTCACAGGTGATGAATTTGTCAGCTTTAACTTGATTTAACTGCTTTTTACGTATCGGCAAGTCACATTGTCATATTCTCCATTTTTTCATCACTATTATCCTTACTCTTAGTCACTTACACGTATGTATTTGGTATTGTCACTGTTGTGTGATAAATACGTTTGAACTAACACGTTTCCTCTCCAGTAAAAAGATAAAAAAAGGAGCAAGGAGACGGCGCAAGCAATGTCTTGTAAACTACCCATCCTTAAATTCATATCATCATCATCATCCAAAGTGAAACCCTAACATTCTGTTTGACACAGAGTATGTAAGGTATAGGTAAATGATAATTCTTTTGTATTACAATAAGCATAAGTGCATTATAAACTTTGACATCCGATGCTTTAACAATGTTCTTTCCGTTTTACCTTCACATAAATCTCCAGTCGCATAATGAACGCAATCGCATATGAAGAAAGGACTTGTATGGGAATGATGACATTTTCCATGATGGTGACACGGATTTGGTACGCAGGGGTCATCTTTACCTCTGGTTTGGGGATCTGAAGAATTCGTTTAATGGAAGTTTTTCTATATATGTTCAATAACCTCATGTTTTATGATTATACCTATTACCCAGGACTACTTTGAAGCATTCGTAACATGTTCAATACGCTTGACTTTTAATGATTATATAATTAATAATTATAAAATATTCAAGTAATTTAACAAATATATTCACTACTTAAGGGAGGTAACTACGAATGTTCTATCATACCAATGCTCACTGAATTATCTCCTTTTTGAAAATAAAGTCAGTCAAAGATAGATGAATACATGTAAGTTGTATATTAATGATGTATAATTGAAATTTAGATTTTATGTAAATGCATACAAATATACATTGCCAACAAATAGATAATCGAACCATTATTCAATTTAATATATATTTGTACCGGCCGCTTGCTAGACATGCTAAACTACAATAAGGAAATTTACTTTCAATTCAATGTCATATTCGGCCGAAGTTATTTCCCTTAGATTACAAATGAACGAAAAATTATTTTTCCGTTGTTGTTTGGTTTTATTTTGTTTTTCTCAAATAGAACACAATGTTTCTCATCGATGTTAGTTGTATATTAATACTTACGTTCATTATTTCCATACACAAATGATGTCACCACGTGGCATAGACACGTGACAAATAGGTAAAAAGCTGCAATGTTTAGAGAAAAAAGATATTGTATTAGTAATGAGTAACAAGATAACTAAATATCATTTCTATCATGGAAAAATATTTTAACATAAAAACGAAATATTAAATGGGGGACCAAAGGACACTTTGTCCGATCTTGTGGCGTAAACTTTGCTTTATGACGTCATCTGATCACATGGTGAAAATGCTGGTAAAATCTTTTGTCTTTCCTAAAAAAATATGCCGTTTTCAGGCTTTAAACTATCTTTTGATATTTTAACGATTTCTCAGAATAAAAACATAGATTTTAGTTTATCTTCGAGTTGACACGATAATTACAATAAAAAAGAAGAAGAAAAAAAAGCCAGTCTGATTGGGAGCATTTTGCAGCAGGTACACGATGCCGTAGTATCTTTCCATGGATTTATGATCATGACATAATATTTTCCTTTGCAAAATTGCCAACAGCACATTTTGGTATTTTCACGGTGTAGCTTTCAACAAATCGCATACGTGATGTGTAGTTGTAAATGCTGTGGATGTATATATGTTGTTGTTGTGTTTTTTTTATCCTTTTAGTATTTCGAGCACAAGAAGGTATTTTGTAATATGAACCGGTACTGTTAGGTATAAAATGGGCTGACAAGTAGAAAATGACACAACAATAACCCTCCACTAAGACAGTAAGTAAGTTAAATCGTGTTATTTCGACATATTGACAGCAATTTATGTTTTGTTTCACCCCGAAAATGGTTAAGGGATCAACAGGCCACCTCGCTTGTTTAGTTGTTATTAAATCCTTACTCACCGGATCCGGAAGTTAAATATTCAGCCCTAACACTAGTCAAATATCTTAGTTATTTGTAAATAAATCTTACTAGAAATGCTCATTTTCCGCTTATTTCTGTAAACCATTCTATGCACCATAAATTAATGTGTTATCTCTGTCAGCTTATATAAATATATTGACCTGTTTGACAACTTATCTATGGTCACGTTATTCTACAGCAGCTATGAAAATTTGTCAAAAAAAATGTCTTAAAGATGCGTATACACAATAAGGTACTGGCCATTGTTAATAGCATTTGCACGTGCCATGTCTGAAATATCGTGTTAGTATATATATATATATATATAGAGAGAGAGAGCACAAAATCTCTATACGTGTGTACTTTATAGTATCAAAAATTGAACTGATATATTTCTTTAATTTAATGTATTTTGCGATTGTATGAACCCATTTCAATTTAGTTTTGATACTCTACAGAACACACATATATAGAGATTTTGTGCACTATTGTGTGCACATTATACATGTAATACACCCCTGATGAAGGCATAATACGCCGAAAGTACTCGGGTATTTATACTTTTTAAGCACTGTGTAGACATAAGAGTGAGACATAATTTAAAACAGAACTTTAGAATTCATTCCATTTGGTGATAAAGTACTTTTCCAGTGATGTGTTACTTTATCAATAGGCATAAAAGAGAAATTATGTATAGTAAGTCCTTGGGTTTACATGTACATTTGTAGTTGTTTTCATGATAATGTTTTATATCAAATCTGTTACAATTCATATGTGTGGAGCACTGTTAACATTTTTACATGGAATCAAATATTTTACATCAGATAAATTACATGACATATCATCCCTTACATCATAACAAGATGTACATGTGTTGATGGTACATGTACGAATTAGATTAATCTATTTTTGAACAATGAGTACAGCGACTCTGTTGCATTTTGATACCCAACCAGTTTAAGGAACATTGTTCATTTAAGAGTGAACTAAAGTATTTTGATTTTATATTCAATGATATGTCTATAGGTATGCAGTTGTCTTACACCACCGCAAGGAACGTGTTACAGTATCGCGTTTTCCGGTTACAGAAGGTTTTCAAGATGGAGGATTATTTGTGGGGAGGAAAGGTAGGTGATTTTATTTCGGTCCCTACTACATGTAGTTTAGTTTTTGTGCTTTGCTAGTAAGGAACAGGATCCGGTATCCTCAGACCTTGCACCGCAGATTTATCTCTATATTGTCTCATAAATATGCAGATTTGACTGTTTGAGAATTTGAATCGACAGAACCAACGAATTTTTCTCCCATTCCGACATTATTTAATCATGCCTTGAAAAAGTAAATCTACAAAATGTTAGTCATTTGTGTTTAGAAACGATTATAAAAGTAAAATGACCAGATGAACTTATTTTCCTGTTCGTTATATGCGTTCAATGTTACAGTACAGGGCGAGGTGAATTGTACAGGATTACAGCAGACTTAGCGATTTTTAAGCTTATACATAGATTTCTGTTTCTGTATGAATGATACATGGACTTTTAAATCTCTAGAAACACAACTGGTGAGCTTAAACGCCCGTCATGACGTTGGATTCTTTGTATGTGAGGAATCTATCAAGCTAGTTTACGGAAGGTCGGTGGTTCTAGTCAGGTGCCCGCCCATGTCTGAAATGTTTCACAAAGTTAGGGGTTTCTTGTTGCAATTTCGGCCCCGATGAAAACCTTAGAAAATACATTCAAACTCACGCCACCCACGGTGATAGGACTTTTAAGGGGTCCTCATTGCAATACAATCCACGGTGATAGCCTCATGGAACAAAGTAAAGGTCACACAACCTACGGAGGGGGTTCTCATTCGAATTTCGGCCCGATGAAAACCTCAGGAAATACATTCAAGCTTTCGCAACCCACGATGATAGGCCTTTTAAGGGGTCCTCATCGCAATACAATCTACGACGATAGCCTCATGGAACAAAGTAAAGGTCACACAACCTACGGTGATAGGCCTTTTTTGGGGTTCTAATTGCAATTTCGACCCCGATGAAAACATCAGGAAATACATTCAAGCTCACGCAACTCACGGTGATAGACGTTTTAAGGGGTCCTCATCGCAATACAATCCACGGTGATAGCCTCAAGGAACAAAGTAAAGGTCACAAAATCTACGGTGATAGGCCTTTTTGGGGGTTCTTATTGCAATTTCGGCCCCGATGGAAACCTCAGCAAAGGGTATCTGAGTTCTTTCTTTACACTAAAGCAGGAATGTTTAAACATGACCTCAGTGTCGGTGAAACTTAAAATCTAAGGAAACGAAAAGTAGCAAACCCTTTTTAAATACTTACAAAGTACATAATTATAGCTGGAAATTCCAACTTAAAATAAGTTTTAAGGTTGCAGTATTTCTCGCTTGAATACCGTTTAATCACCCTTAGGGAATGTTGTCCGCTTTTTAATTGTGTCTTTTGACAGTTTATCTGCGGTATGCAGGCTTCATAACCTCCGATCCCCTCTATTTAGTTTGACTCATTATATTCTCGTTTAGGGTCCACGCAATTTTTTAACCTGGTGGTAATATGCCGCTTTTCGTGGAATGGCAATAACGTGTCACATTGAAGGTTCCATGGTAACCGCCATATGAACTCATCCACAGATGTTAAAAAATCTAGAGTTTACGAGTTCATGTTAATGTGAATTATGCTTAAGCCGGTGCTAGGATGTGTGGAAGGTAGTTTGCATTTACCACTATCGTCCATGAACAGGCTCAATCAAACTGAGCCTGCAACATTTTCATTTGTCCATGTTGGACTTTCTTTAAGGACATTTTTTTCCTTTATGTTATTATTAATAGGCATTATTATAATGTGTAATGGCTTCAAGCTATAATCTTTCTTCTCTTTATACAATTTGATAGAAGTTACTGTTGTTGTCGTGAAAACAGTCCTTACTTAGGACATTACTTATTCTGCAAAAAGTGTCAATCTGAATATAAGTACTTAAAGTAAGGAAAATGGCAAACTATTACTTTTCTGCTAAAGAAAAAATGTAACCTACGGTGAACACTCTCATGTTCAGAATATTTAAAAATATTCCAGTTTTGATTTAAATATATTACTAATATTAGGCATGAAAAGTGCATACAAAAGGAATGATTTTATCCGTATCTTTTAAAGTTGAAAAAAACATATTTTATGATGAAAGAGGTCACCCTTTTAAATGCATCATTATATATATTTGCAGGATAATAACGGGCTTCAAAATATTTACTGATTTTGACCAATTCCTTTCTAAATACATCATCATCTTAAAAAATGCGCCTATAGCGTTTAGAATACACGGTGACATGAATGAAAATTCTATATATTAATGACTGTTACGTGTCGTATCTTTTTATAAACTCTTACAGAATGCAGGGTATCACTGACACATTTTAAAATGTTAGCATATCATAACAAGTATTTCAATTAATAAGCGGAACGCAATGATTCCATTGATTTATTAAAACACTTGTTTCAGAATAATTACTGATTAACCTAGAATTCAGCAAAATGGTTTGTTAAGAATTTTTTATTGTCCAGTTTCAATGCTACATATTTATGATGAAGATGAATTCCAAAATACTTTATTAATTTTGTAGATTATAATTCTTCATTTTAATATAATATATAATATATTATATAATATTTTATATTTTTTATATATATATAAAAAATTGTATTTTCTAATTTTTGCTTAATATGACTTAAAACTAATTTCATGCCAATATGTAGTTTATGCTGGTTTTCTTATTTTACATTGCTTTTTACTGCATCTCCACCAGTGTTTTGTATCTTTTATAAAGATCCTACATATAGCATTAATACGCCAAATTATATATTACATTTTGACGTTGTTGTCCTTGACGTCATATGACGTTGACGTCATTTCCTGTAAACAAAGTATACCTGATGAAGACTTTTGAGTCGAAACGTTGTATATTTTTCAAATAAAATAATTACATTTTTAAATTGAAACTGGAGTTGATTTCTATATTCAAACTTATATTAACATATTTAAGATGAAATTCGATAGCCACTAAATGTTGTGTAGATCTCATCAGGTTGACCGTACAAGTTGGTGTCAGTACCGTAAGATCCATCCACTGCCCTGATCTCTACCTAGAAATTCAATTAGACATAATGTAGATATACATAAATCAAAACATAAAAATCGTACAGAAGGTAGGACATTTTTAACAACAAAAAAAGAGAAATAAATAGCCACAACTAATGAGGGGAATTATGATGAATTCCACGGATTATTAATATTTTCTTTAAACAAGCCCGAGTGAAAGATATACAAAATGATCACATTGTCGTTTTTTCGTGTTTTACCTGGTGCCCCGCCCGAGTGAAAGAGCTACAAAATGGTCACATTGTCGTTTTTCGTGTTTTATCTGGCGCCCCACCCGAGTGAAGGACCTACAAAATGGTCACATTGTCGTTTTTTCGTGTTTTACCTGGTGCCCCACCTGAGTGAAAGAACTACAAAATGGTCACATTGTCGTTTTTTTCGTGTTTTTATCTGGCGCCGCACCCGAGTGAAAGAACTACAAAATGGTATCATTGTCGTTTTTTCGTGTTTTTACCTGGCGCCCCACCCGAGTGAAGGACCTACAAAATAGTCACATTGTCGTTTTGTCGTGTTTTTACCTGGCGCCCCGCCCGATTGAAAGAACTACAAAATGGTCACATTGTCGTTTTTTTCGTGTTTTACCTGGTGCCTCGTCCGATTGAAAGAACTACAAAATGGTCACATTGTCGTTTTTTCGTGTTTTACCTGGTGCCCCGCCCGATTGAAAGAACTACAAAATAGTCACATTGTCGTTTTTTTCGTGTTTTACCTGGTGCCCCACCTGAGTGAAAGAACTATAAAATGGTCAAATTGTCGTTTTTTTTCGTGTTTTTTACCTGGCGCCCCACCCGAGTGAAAGAACTACAAAATGGTCACATTGTCGTTTTTCGTGTTTTTACCTGGCGCCCCAACCGAGTGAAAGAACTACAAAATGGTCACATTGTCGTTTTTTCGTGTTTTACCTGGCGCCCCGCCCGAGTGAAAGAATTACAAAATGGTCACATTGTCGTTTTTCGTGTTTTTACCTGGCGCCCCAACCGAGTGAAAGAACTACAAAATAGTCACATTGTCGTTTTTTTCGTGTTTTACCTGGTGCCCCACCTGAGTGAAAGAACTATAAAATGGTCAAATTGTCGTTTTTTTCGTGTTTTTACCTGGCGCCCCACCCGAGTGAAAGAACTATAAAATGGTAACATTGTCGTTTTTTTCGTGTTTTACCTGGCGCCCCGCCCGATTGAAAGAACTACAAAATGGTCACATTGTCGTTTTTTCGTGTTTTACCTGGCGCTCCGACCGAGTGAAAAACTATAAAATGGTCAAATTGTCGTTTTTTTCCGTGTTTTTACCTGGCGCCCCACCCGAGTGAAAGAACTACAAAATGGTCACATTGTCGTTTTTTCGTGTTTTTATCTGGAACCCCGCGGAGCAAAAGGTGAAAACATGAAAATATGACAAAATGATTTATTCGCCTTATTTTTGTAATAGGACAAGGTGATCAAAATACGAGAGTCGGTTGTAGTAATCGCAAGACCTGAATAGGTACATTCATATACTGTTGTAACTCTTTTCTGAGTGTATAAGATTGTTGTTGTCTTCAGATCGGGAGGTTAGGGGTTCTTCTTAGGTGCCATCTCTTACACCGGTGGTCATATTAGTTCTTCCATCATTGGAAAGCTGAAATATTGATGCATTATCGATACAATGTCGATAGGACATAAAGAAAATAAAATAATTTGAGCCGCGTCACGACCAACGTAATGGGTTTGCGACCAGCATGGATCCAGACCAGCCTGCGCATCCATGCAGTCTGATCAGGATCAATGCTGTTCGCTATCAGTTTCTCTACTTGTTATAGGGTTTGCAAGCGAACAGCATAGATCCTGATCAGACTGCGCGGATGAGCAGGCTGGTGTGGATCCATGCTGGTCGCAAAGCCATTATGTTGGTTTTGTCGTGACGCGGCTCAATTTTGTTGTTCATACCGTATCTCCAGAAGCCAATGGAAGGACAACGGAGTTACTACCTCCGGCAAAATCGTTAACTGTATGACCATATATGGAGGCAATGTAAACCTTGTTCTTGTACAGATTTAACCAAGATGATTTATCTTGATGAGCTAGTGTATGAAACTGCAAAAATAAATTCACACATTAAAAGGACCACACTGAGGTCAAAAAACCTAAAATATAAAATTTGAATTTCCTACATGCAGATCAACTTGGGCAATTAAAACAGTACAATATATAAAAGATATTAAAGAAATAGAGTAAGAATAAATTGAAAATCGTATTTTGTACTAATTTAGTCCGATTTGAGTAAAGAGCGTTGCAACGCTTTTCAATTTTGGAACATTTTTCACAATTAGAATATTAATCATTCTTGAAAAACGGAGTGAGTGAATAATCTGAACATGTTATTTGTCTAGATCTACAGCAAAAAGAACATTGATTTTGCAAAATTATTTCCATTCCTGTCATATCAAAAAACCTTAAAAGACATTAAGGTGGAATAGGGAAATTTATTAACATGAGGCCAATTTCAGCAAATGGTAATTTGATTCACGACACATGCAAGTACTATCAAGCTAAAACAATATATAGGTGATTACCAGGCCCGTAGTAATGATCAAAATAATGATTAACATTTACAAAAAAAGGTGTTGCATTAGCTATCCACATAATTTCGAGAATGTTAGACCCCTAGATACGATTGGTGTGTGTGTTGTATGATAGTGAACCTTGTTGTCGTATGTGAGCATGAGTAAAGTACTTTGTAACTGGAGATAAATCAATTAAATTCATTGGCAAAAATTAAATTACAATTTGATATCAAGTAATTTCCTTGGTATACAGGCCTTGTTCGGAACGAGCAAAATCTTCTCAAAGTTCTGTTTCCATTTTCTGTACCTTACGTTCCGTGTATTAATTTTTGTTTCTTATTTTCCGTGTTTTAACTTTTGTGCCTTTCGTTTCGCTTCGCTTACAGATGACTTAGAAATGATTGTTGCAACTACCATGATATTTCGGGTGATATCTTTTTCAAAGCAACCTTTTATGTGTTGTAATTTTCAAAGTATTAATAAGTAATCTATTATTAGAAATAAGGTCGAATTTTATTCAGAGAGAGGCTTATACCTGAAATGTGTAAGTTCCGGCCATTGGACACGTAAATATCCCTGTAGTTGCGTCATAGCCGTTACCAATGTTCGTGAACACTTTGTCGAAAACGACATTTTCTGCGTGCAATATATTCTGATCATGTGTCAGTCCAGCTGAGAAGGCCACTTCTCCCTGTCCGGCCACTAGAAAATGGAAAACAAAAAGGGTTTTAATCAAACCGGGTCTCCAATTTTCATATTACATTTTTCTTCATTGCTTTAAAGGGATCACAACATTTCAATTTTTTATACTTCACAACAGCATGCATTAAATGCAATGTGGCAGCTGTAAAAAAGTTTCCCCGTACTACACTTCAGTGTAATTATGTTGTCCCTTGTCCGTCAGGATCATTAATCCAGCACGTAAGTATTGAGGATCAAATATATAGATTTAGCCGATGCTAGGTGGCATGAGAGATGTTGCACTTTTCCATTATCTCTTTAAACCGAGTCTGCAATTTTCATATAATAATGTTATTTTCTTTGCTTCCGAGAGATCATACCTTTTTAAGATTTTTTTTTAATATCATATTCCCAATATGATTTTAACATATTAACAATTTCCTTTAAATCAAATAAGACAATGCTATAATTCAAATATAGAATATACAATGTATGTGTCAGATTCAGAGCTTGTTTTGGTGTGCGTTTGGGAATGAAAACTAAACATAAAAAATAAAGCATACCTAATCCCAAAGTCACACAAGCAACAAATAACGCAATCATTTTGCTGAAAAAAATACAAACATCTTGTATGAAAATATACACATGTAATAAAAAGAGTTACTTACACTTTACATTCTTTGGGGGAAATAATGGCTTTCTAAGAGTTGAGCCTTCTCTAATGATATGTGCGTGAAGTTTTAAAGTGAATTAGTCCAAATTGAAATTTCGTGCGGCTTATAACTGGATAGCATTAAATGCATTTGTTTCGGCCTTGATTTTTACATTCATATGTCTTTCTTTTAACGTTTTCTGTTTCACAAGATCGAATCTTTGTCTAATAAATACAGCAATTACTAATAAGACTAAGCTATGCATTACATATTAAGACAATTAAGAGGAAGTAGAACTTTACTTAATGTATGCTAAATATATTTTAAAATGACTTTTTCTTACAATATTCGTCCACCAAACTCTCAACTCGACAATAAATTTATTCAGAAAAAACACAGCTTACCTTGTATAAAGATAAATGCACTGAAAATGTCTGTAATAAAATCAAGGTTAATGATAAGATGCCTACCTATATTTCAGGCGCTAAAACTGTCTCTCTGTTCACCTTATCTTTGACATTTGAAGTTCAAGTACATGTAACACGCTAGATAAGCATGATTTTAGACAGACAATATACTACAGTAGGTTATATGGATTTTGTAGGCAAATAAGTGTAAGGTGTCTTCATTAAATATACGGAATAGAATCGAACAGAACAAACATCATCTTGAACGCAATGATTTCTTCAAATATAACTTCTTCGGCCAACTTAACTATTTTTGCAAAAGAAACGTCAAATGTAATTACGGCAAGACATAGATCATGTCAAAGAGAGGTTGATAACGGAAACGTTGCTATTGTTAACGAATGTTATTATCCAGTATTTACGTACAATGATTAGAAATTAAGATTTTTTAACGAAAGATATGACCAAGTGTGAACGGTTATATAGGAAACAATTGTTAATACTAAACATTATTGAGTTTTGACAGACTTTAGTAGGACCTTGAGGAAGCTATCCACCAAACTTACGAAATGTCGGTGGTTCTTAGGTGGCCGCTCGGTTGAGAAAACTATATACACGGAGGGGCACAGGATGTCTTCCTTCACCAGTAAAGGTGAAAAATCGCCATAATTATGACCTTTACAGCGTTATTGCGACTTAAAACCCACCCACCTAACCAACCAACCAAGCAACAAAACAACCAACCTACCAACCAACCAGGCAGCAGCCAACCACCCAACCAACCAACCAACCAAACAAACAAGCAAGCAATTAAAACACTCCAATATTTAAAATATATATTTAATTGTGCTGTAAAATCATTTTGTATACATCACAATCCATCCTTTTCTCATACTGCATGCACAAGATATCCACTAAATATTGTATAAACCTCGTCTGGCTGACCGTATAGATCCGTGTTCACACCAAAACTACTGTCAACGGCTTTTACATAGACCTGTAGGAAAATCAACTCGTTAAAGTACATTGTAATTAATAATTATAAAGTTAAAATAAAATCATTATATTTTTGAAAGTACACATACAAAGTAAGCATGGTTTATCTTTTAGTTAAAAAGATTTTCACAGCTTATATTATCAGTTGTAAAGATTTTTGACATGTTTAATGACCCGATATAAATGACTGTTTTAATATATAGTCAGAGTCGCTAGACGAGGGTTATTTTGCAAATAATAGCTTACATACGGCCATATAACTTGTCAAAAATCTTTATAACGAATTCATAATACAGCAAATTTCGTACTTTATTTGTAAAAAAAGAAGAAATTAATCAACAAACTGATAGAAGTCATGTATATGTTGTATATAAACACCTCGATTATCCAATGAAAGGCTACGCTACAAACGAACAGTACTTGATATACGAGCTTTTCTCTTTCAAGATACCAATATGTAATAACTTATATTTTATCATTCAAATAAACACATAAAACAAGAAAACTCCAAAAACAGTACTTTAAAATTGATATTTTAGATAATATGTTGCCCCCGTGATAAAGAAAACTGCAGTTACCCTATTACCATCCTTTGTCGAATGAACATGACTTGTGTCAAACTTGTAATGCTTTAATATTTGGACATAAAGTCGCAATTGTTTTCGCCTTCCACTCGCTCGAAATTCTTAGTTGGTAATCCTAAATTGTTATTAGCCTTTCAAGACAAACCTGATCTCCTGTTGCTAGTAGAAGAATTGCAGTGTTACCAGCACTACCATAATCATTAGATGAATGACCAAAGATTGTGGAAATATAATCTGTGTTCTTGTACAGCTCCAGCCACGCTGACTTATCTTGACGTGCTAGGGTGTGAAACTGTAATGTGAAAATATAACTCTATATAGTCATGTTTATAAGCAATATAGACATGTTATAAACCATATATACATGTTATAAGCTATATAATCATGTTCTTTTGCTCCTTGTGGCCAGGTACTTGAACCATCTTTTGCTTCTGTTGCTTTTTTGCAATTTGTACAGCTATAATAATTTAATATTTTGTATAGAAGTCAAAATCCTTTTTTGTTTATATTTTGCTACCTTTATAACACATTATTGCACATATAGTGCTACTTTCTTCAGGTAACAAGCATCCGACATAGTCTTAAACGATTATTTAAACAATATAAATTTCATGCTTGCACTTTCTAAAGAAGTAAAAATATATTAACTTCTGATATATACTGTGCCTCTAATATTTTGTTTTAGGATTGTTTTAAATAAGGAATAAATGTCAATAAAACCACTAACCGTAAATACGTACTCGTAATAACCAATAAAACGACTAACCTTAAAACAGTAATAACCAATTAATTGACTAAACTGAAATACGTAATAACCGGGGAATGTCAATAAAACGACTGACCTGAAATACGTAATAACCGGAGAATGTCAATAAAACGACTGACCTGAAATACGTAATAACCGGGGTATGTCAATAAAACGACTGACCTGAAATACGTAATAACCGGGGTATGTCAATAAAACGACTAACCTGAAATACGTAATAACCGGGGATTGTCAATAGAACGACTTACCTGAAAAACGTAATAACCGGGTGTTTGGCAAGTGAAGACGCCGCTGCTGGAATTATAGGCGGCACCAATGTTTGTAAATATTTTATCATACACGATCGTCTCAGCATGCAGTAAAGTTTGATCTCTTGACACTCCAGCCGAAAACGCCACTGCCTGTCCCTGACTTGTCACTAAAATAACAAAGATTACGTTTCACTTCTAGGCTGTCAATGCATAGATGAACTCGCATATAATATAAACAAATGATTAAGACACAATAAAAGCAAAATGTTAAACAAAACTTGGCCATTTAATAATAAATGACGGAATAAAAGTTACCAAAATAACATGAAATTGTAAAATGGCCATTTAATAATACATGATTGAAAAACATATAATACAATATTACTATGAAAGTTACCAAAATTACATAAACTTGTAAAATGGCCATTTATGGCTATAACCTTTAAAGGATCTTTCATTCAAGCTTTATCAGGTGGTCTAAATTCGCTAATATTTATAAAATGTAATTTTACAGTATCAACAACAGTAAAATAGTATTCTTACCCATCCCTATGATGGTGCTTGCAATTATAACTATAACACACATGTTGCTGTAAAAAAGTAAAAATAATGCATTTCTTATTTACTATAAAACATGCTACATCAAATATTGTTACAATTCAGACACTCTACAGAAATGCAGATAAACTTTTTTATAACTTAAAAATTTTAAATCATCCCATAAAAAAGGGCTTAGTAACGAAATAAATTTAAATGTCTTGTTATCACGATCAACAACAAATGAGATTGACAAAAAAAGCTCTGAATGTTTTGTACAAGTTTTAAAGATTTTGTCTGGATATATGGCTCTATTTATATATTGCTATATAAACGGTTATACATGTATTGCAAATAACCGTTAAATATACACAGCTATATAACATTTCAAGAGTCTTTACTACTAATTTATAATTATTATACTTAAAAACTTTCTTTATAAGAGAAAAGTATGAAATTTCTTCATAAATTTACTACAGTCGTGTATATAGATTATATAACCGTCACGATTATCCAATGAAAAACGACGTTACAAACATGCAGTATTATATTAAGACTTAGTAAAGACTTAAGCAATTCTCCCAAAATCGTAAGATACATATACATCAGTAAATAGCAGAAAAAATAAATAAATAATTACCTTGTAAACATGTTGACTCTCTTTCAATAATAACAAAAACTGCCAGTAGGTCAATGATAAGACATTTATATGATAAACAATAGCAAACTGATTAGTATTGTCTAAGATACCAACTTAGAGGAAATAAATACATGTATATAAGTACGAATTTTTTTATAATCACATGTATGGTTACTTTGACAGGAGTCAGAAACATAAAAGACAAAACAACAAACGCACAAAATGGAAGCAAAACGAAACAAATAAGAAACAAAACTAAAACAAAAAAAGCAAAACAAAATTACAGAAAAATACTTATATAAAGTAAAAACGCGTTACTCTTAATTTGAATATTCAAAAATGTGTATTGGCATAAGCACAAAATGAAAGCAAAACTAAGCAAATCAAAATCACATCTGAAACAAATAAAACAAATTCAGAAAATATTTCTTTAACAAAGCCACGCCTTTATGTTAAACTTTAGTACTTAACAAATAATCTATAGTATTGAAATGATTCTTTTGTGTTGGCTTTGCTACTTCCTTCGAATTCGTTGATGGGCACAAAAATAAAACGTGAACCAATGTACACGCGAAATGAATCATTTTACGGCATTGCAAAGTACAGTATGTTTGCAAATTAATGACTTGTGTTCATTTAAAGTCATATTTAATGACACGAATATGGGCCGCAGACCACGTGACACGAGTAGGTGAACCTTAGAGATAAGAAAATGTCCCTTGTCTTGTAGACGATTTAATTTGACACCAATTTTAACAGAACGTTATCAGCAAATTACAGAAAAGAGGTAAAAAGTTTGTTTTTTCCTTCTAAAATTGAAGCAAGTTTTGCTAGTAATCGCCATTTCTTTAGTTATGATTATATGTCAAACGGCCACATGTAAAATAGTAATGACAAAATAATACTTAGTTACGTTTGAGCACAAACTTAATATCAACTGTTTTGCCGTACCGCTTGACTTTAACTAAAAATACTTTTACGAGTATGTCAAGTATTTTGCTCCAAAAATTAACGAAAGCAAAATCTGTTTAATGATAATTAAAACATACTTGAGTGTTTGGGAATTTAATGCATATATTCCGTGTTATTTCGCAAAATTGTCTGTCACTAAATGCGCAAAAACCGTGCTGTGTGACAACTCCTCTATGTCAACTATTTCGATTGGTAATCTTGAAAGACGATAAAGTGGTCACGTTTTTGTATTTTAGTGTTTCCGCCTGGTACCCCGCGAAGCGAAAGAACGACATTGCACAAATCAGCCGCCATAATTACCTTTCTCTCTGTAACCAATCTCTTACATTATGATAAAACCATTGCATGATCAAAATAGACCAGGTCAACTCTATCTTCGTTTTTTTACTACGATTGTAGGGATATTATGTATTCTTATTATTTTTTCAACACCTCTTCTATCTTTTATTTCAGGATTATGTCAATTGCAGTAGTAGCATGTTTGTTCCTGGTAGCCGAGGTAACGGCAGCAAATATAGGGGACGTTGGTGAGTGTCCAAATAGTGTCAAACTATAAATTACATCTGATTATAACCAAATTAATTACTAGCAAGTAAAATTTACATTTAGCAATTAATTACTAGCGTTAAAAACATCAATGTAATATTTTATCATAAAAGTTTTAGTTTAAGCTTTTATTTGGTACATTTTTAATGTTTATCAAATAGTTTTCTTCTACACATGATTCATATTACTGGATGGAACTTGTCAAATAAAACTTTTAATGTTGAAATCAACTGTCAAACATGTATAATAACATTTTGTAGTTGTCCTTCTCGACGTAAACATTGTGAAATTTGAATTTTGAGTAATATGTTATAATCATATAAAACATTAGGCAAAGTTTCAATTGTGTTCTTAGCGCCCGATATAAACGATTACATAGTTCAAAAATTGCAGATAACTCAAAATCTGTGCAAAGAACAAAATTAAATATCAATTGCCGACCCGGTTTGATTGTGTCTGTTCATCAGAGCTCGTTTAAAGTACAAAATCTCTCACGCCCACTAACATCGACTGCACTAAATGTGCTGGAATTAATAGCCCCAAAAGACAAGAAAAGTATAACAACAATGAAGTATGGGACAACATTTCACATCTGGACTCACCGATCTTGAAACCTGCTGTTGTAAAGTATTAAAATTTAGAATTCCTAGGGAAACACATGAATAACATCGAAATTATATGAAAAATGCAGACTCGGTTTGATTAAGTCTATTGATGAGTGTATATATGATATTGTAAGACATGTAAGCTTGTTATTGTTACTGAAATATTCTATTTTTAGAATCATTATTTATTTATTAATAATTACTTATTGTCACTTTTAGCATTTAAGTACGCAATATTCCTATTCAAATAAGGACAGTAAAGTAATTATATTGTTTTCAGCATTTTAATTATTCACTATGTATAAACGTTCCTAAAATTGAATGTTACCTTTCTCCGAATTTCATGTTAGATTGTTGACATTTTAGGAAGCACGATTATTTCTTTATTTCTGGATTAACATGTCTGTTACTCCACATTTTGTAGTATCCATTATGTTTTGATGTTATAATCAGTAATTTGTTCATGAAACATGCTCTAATTCAATTATTTTTGTCTAAATAATAATTCCTAAAACTTTCCCAAAATGTTCATGGAGGCTGCCATCTTTGTTTTAGGTACACGAGTACCGATATCTGTTAGTTTGTTTAGAAATGAACCATATTTGACTTTATTGTGTAACATGTATTTTGTATTATGTGATTATAATGTTTGCTTCTCAAATTGTTCAAAGATTTATTGTAATAATTTATTTGTGTAAAACAAGACTGCACTATTTGTTCGGTCATTCGCGTTAGTAAAGTTGGGTTGTGGAATCATCCTAATTCTCTTTAAATTGTAATAATCCTGCTAAATTACCATAAGTATTTAATTGAGATGTATTAAATAGCGTAAGTGTTATTTCTCAACATAATGATTACTTACAACTTTATATGTTTTCTTTGTATTTTGTTATTATGATCTTTTGAGCTGTTTACTCATTTTAGGATGGGAATTCCTAACCAATTCTGATTGGCTTAGATAAATCCTAAGTGCAATCTGATTGGTCGGGAATCCTTTCCTAAATTCCTAAACGGCTCAAAGGTTATAAATAGAGCGACAGTCCTCATTTTGGAACAACAACGCCCACTAAAGTTGCTTAGGCGCGATAATTCAAAACTGAGCAGAAAACATCAAAACTGAATTTTAGTAAGTTTCTATTTAGGAAGGACTCCTAAATCACATTGGAATATGTATTAAACTTTTATTAAGCAACTTTTCCTGAATGAGAGCTGACGTACTTCATGTTATAACTTTTAATCCTAAATTAAACGGATATTAGACCAAAGAATCCAAACTTGATAAAAGCGTTGTTGACTTATATTTTAGGAAATCATAAAATCACAACATAGCGCATTATGAAATGATGCCGAAACTTATTTCTGTATATTGATGATAAGATAGTATTAAATGTTATATATAAGAATATATATGCAGTTTATGTATACAAAACTATGTATACACTATTAAACCTAAGAATTGAAACTTGATGAAAGCGTTGTATTATTTATTCCGGAAATCCTAAAGAAAAGAGTCTACTTATATAACATTGAAACCGGGTGCTGTATATAACTGATGCTAAGTTAGCATATATGTTTATACAGTAGAACTTGTGGCGTATTTTTGAATCAGCTATCCTGACACTGCGGCAAAAGTACGTTACAATATGTTCTGTAGAAGTGCAAAATTTTTACACCCCTATCAAAGTTCATTCCCTTCAACTTCTTTTTCTTCTTCTTCTACTTCTTCTTTTTCTTCTTCTTCTACTTCCTCTTCTTCTTCTACTTTTCTTCTTCTTCTTCTTCTTCTAAAATCATTTTATTTATATTTACAGTTATACCCAACAAAAGACATGATACTGGTCACTTTGTAGCATTCTCAGCAGGTCGAACGACAAATCTCAACCTTAACAAAGACGATGTGGTAATTTATGATAAAGTTTGGTCAAATGCCGGTAATTATACCAATTTTCGTTCCTTTGCATAAATTAAAACATGTTTATTTTTTACATAACTAGCCCGCATGAACTGATTGAAAATAAATTGTTTCAAAACGGGTTTTAAGCAGGGCTTCGAATTCTTGACTGATATTTCTATTAGAATGTTAATATTTGAGAATTATATTTAGGCATTAGGTCTTAAATCTAATTCAGCATAAATGTAGCATAGGAACATAGCATACCGGTACACTGGATATAATCCGACAAACCAACGGCTTACTTACAGAAATATTTTAATGTATTTTATGCTTTAAATGCTCCCCGTGCATTTGTTGTTGTGAACAGATAAGATAAAAAGAAAAAAACATAAGCATATTTTCAAAGTCTTGGCTTACAAAATTACATGAACAAATCTTATATGTGCAGTCTTCTCTGGTAAGAATTTTATTGTATAATGATGAAATAAAAAAGTTAGTTTTACTCTTAATAAGGAAACGGTTATGACAACACGACTGGAGTATTCACATGTCCTGTTGCTGGTGTTTATTCCTTTATGTATCATGGCCTTTCGGAATCGGTAAGTATATTTTTTGACCTATCTCGTATATTAAAATTACTTTAAGCTCTGCATTTTTCCCCTTTATATGCTCCATTATGTAATGATGAAAAATAAGTTCTAGAAAAGAAAAATAGTATGCATGTATTATAATTGTTACGGGCATCCCATAGATTTATCAGGCATCACAATAAAAGTAAAACTGTATGTCTAAATGACATCATAATCAACGACCATCATTCATAATAACGCACGTGTAACAATTAATGCTGTAAAATTGAACTACATGTTACAGGCTGGAACTATGTCCCTCGATGTGTACAAGAACAACGACTATCAGATAAGTGCATACGCTCACAACACTGCAGATTACGCCGCTGCCAGCAATGCTCTCACTGTATCACTAGCTGTAGGTAAGGATAGTGATTTCGTACGTTCAGGGATATCGCAATAAAGACTTGACATGATGTTGAGCAATAATGGCATGGAAATGAGAATGTCAATGCAAAACAATGTATTAAATACTTGTCATGAGGTTGAGTAATAATGACATGACACAATCTGAAGAAAAAAATGCCAATGAATTTCTTTAGTCAAAGACTTGACATGAGATTGAACAACAATGACATGACAAAATCTGAAAAAAAATGTCAGTGAAAAACAATGTTATAAAGACTTTACATGAGGTTGGACAATAATGGCATGAAAACTAGAACAAATGTCATTGAAAAACATATCTGGGCACAAAATTGTACCTAGATCTTTGACAATAGGAGTAAAAATGTAGTGTTACTAAAATGTTATTTTTGTACTAGTAATGACCATTTAGTAATGCAACTAGAGTAAGTATTTTAAAAAATATGTATAAACTACGTCACAAAAATCACTCCCCGCTGCTATTCATTTATCTCAAAAGGTAAAATAGTTGACATCAAGAAGATCTTATGCAAATTCATTTGCATGAGCAAAAGAATTCCACGGAGGTTCGAAAGCGCTGAAGTAACTCCACTGAGGTCCAAAGGTCTAAAATACACAATTTGAATTAATTACACAGATCAGCTTGCGCATTAAAACAGAAAGGTATGCAAGATTGCTCAGGAAAAAAAATCGTATTTGAAAAAAGCGTTGCAGGGTTTTCAATTTTAGGTCATTTTTCACAATTAGAATATTGATTAATCTGCGAAAAAAGGGGGCAAGCGAATGATCCGAAATTTGTACTCAGGTATTTGGTCTGGACCTACATCAAATGGAACAATAGTCTCGAAACATTATTTCAAGTACTGTCATGTAAAAAAATAAACCTCAGTGGAGTCCCTTAAAAGCTTAACTATAACCATGGAAGTGTTGTCATGTTTGAGACAAATAGTAGTTTTTAAATGCATGGACTTTATGATGTTTATTTACAAACATTTAGCTTAAGAGGTCTGTATTTTGCTTAACTAAACATTTGTGTAGCATTGCTGTATTATCTCAAAGGGAATAAAGCTATAATTCATGTAAAAGACTTAAAAACTGTAAAAATAAGTTGTTTTCGTAAACTCATGGTCCGTCTTATCATAAGCCATCTTTAAAATAGAATGTCTTTATCATTTAATATACAAGAATGATGAAGTTAACAGAATAATATGTTCAAGAAAAAAATATTATGCTGCATTTTGGCAGGTTTGGCGATAATTTCACGCATGTGAAATTTGCTTTCAATAAAATATACTGACCACGTTCATTCATTCTAAATATTCTGTATAATATAGAAATTAATCTTACATTCTTAAGAAAGCATATATATCGTTTTATACACTTTAGGTGTCCTATATTTGCATAACTTAACAGTTGTGTCTCATTGATGTGTTACCTTTAAGTAATATACAATCAAATAAAACCTAAAATAAATGATGTATCATTTCAGGTGATCGAGTGTATGTCAAAGGTCATGGGTCCAGTATACTGTACGGACGAACAGACGAGGTGTATAGCTCCTTCTCCGGGTTTCTTCTTCTTCCAACTGAATAATAAGACACCATATAAACCAATTTGAAATAAAGTGTAATTTGTATTATACAATAAGTTGTATTGCAATTTATGTGAGTTTGTTAGTTTGTTTAAGTTAGTTATTAGTTTGTTACCGATTGATATATCCCTACTCTAACCTTTTATTTAAATAACAGTGGATTTACCACAAACATTGACATGATTGTGTCTTTTTTTATTAACAAAATATGTCAGGGTGAAATTCTTATTTTATCCACTAATCTGATAATAAGAACGACACGCAAGGGGTCTATGTATTATAGGTAAAGAAAGGGTCAACAGTTGAACATTATCTTAACAAGCGGAGATGATGCCAAAGGTCATTCTCCAAATATTATTTGTAACTTAAGTTGCCTTTAATGTAGAACCACCGACCTTCCAAAAGCTACTTTCACTGTATATCCTTCTAAAATAAAGACGGTACTGGACGAATTTTTGAATAGTTGCTGTAGTAATAGTCAAGTGATTACAAATCGATAGCCTTATCTGGTGGGTTGTTATGAATAGTGAAATAAGTCAGGAATATAAACTATAAAATTACGTTTCTGAATATAAAATGGGGGTTGTCATATTCAATCGACCGTTTGATTTATTTGAAGTCAGTTTGTAACTATAAAAAACTGAAACCATTGCGTTATGCCCTAAAAGTGAATTGGTCTATAATTGAAGAATTTTAGTGACATAAATAAGTATGTTTGACAGTATTTAGTATCATACGTAGCAACAAGCCACGAAAGATCTAGAATTATACATGGATGTTGTTGCTTAGTGCCAGACACATGGTCAGATATAACATATCTATATATAGCAGCTAACTGTCGGTATCATTTATTCTAAATGTCAAGCACTTAGAAACCACGTCGGTCTGGCATGATAAAATGATTTGTAAACCTTTACGTACTGGAAAATATGGTTTAAATCTTTCAGTTTCAGCATGAGATATTTTCAGAATCGAATTTACACCAACTTTAACATAATAAGTATATATTTATCAGTATCGAAAAAAGTAAAAATTGGCATTGGTTAAGGCGTCTGTCTCTTAATACATGGGCCGAGGGTTCGAGCTCTTCACGTCCATGTTTTCTCATTTGTCACCAGTATTGGCGAGATCGGTTCAAACACTCGAGCTAATATGTGTACTGTATATTGAACTCAAATACATCCGTTTTGCTGATAAAATTAGGTCATATTGCAAACGTAGTGCGAGTTGGGTGCAAACTTCCAGGAGGAAATGTATTCGTCGTAGACGTTAATTCAGAGGGAACTTGACGGATTTTTCTGGTATGAAAGTTCAGATGCTCGTGTTATATATGCATATAACCGTTAATATAGGACTATATATCCTGCCAAGAACCTTTATAACAAATTTATTATAAGGCAACTTTCCTTTGTTAGTAGAAGAAAAAAGAAAATGTTTTATAAATTGGCAGCAGCCGTGTATATAGCTAACAGAAACACCACGATTATCCAATAAAAAGCGACGTTACAAAAGTGCAATTACAATCATGGTTCTTTCAAACATTCTTTGAGTTATTTGACCAATAATCTGCATGTTATTTATGTCGACTTTTGTTGGATAATCGTAACAGTTACATACACGACTGCTAAAATTTACAAACCTTAATTTATTTATTTATTCATTTATTTATTTCAAGCAAACCGAGCAATTATGTAGTTTAAATTATGGTTACAAAGATGTCTAGATAGATTATATGTCAGTTACGATTGTAACCATATTTAAACACAAATAAAACGCTGTTATAACTAATATTTAATTCCAATACTAAAAAGAGTTTAAATGTCATTTTTGTACAATTGTAATAAATTGCAATTAAAGTCACATAGTGTCATATGACGTAAACTAATTTCAATATTCTATTCCGTTACGATTCAAGGCTAGATTTATGTATTTTCCGTGTTTTATGTCAAATTGCTTTAATCACATAATTGCTTTATTATAACTAATAGTTGAAAATTATCGATATCTTATGTTCCTTGTCCATTGACAAGTTTTTTTTAATACGATTTCAATATGTTACAAACGATTGTTATATTACGTCAATGCAAATTAATCTGCGTAGATCAAAAACTGTGGGTTCTACAACAATATAAGCAACCCCGGAGACTCTAAATTTAGATTTTAGGTCAAAAATTGTTATCAGTGAGTGTTAAATCTTATCAGTTGGTTTACCAGTGCGATTCTACATTTCTGCAAGGTAAGTTGAAAACTATACAACAGTATTTTTTTTGTGTGTAAGGGGGGGGGGGGGGTATTATCAAACAGTAGGCATAGAAGCTGGAAGACGTTGCCCCCGTACCTCATCCCAATGTCGCAATATGTTTTGGTTTTTCGGAATCATTGAATTCATTAGACACACAACGATAATAAATGAATACAATTTAAGCCGGTGCTAGGGGGTCTTGAGAGACATTGCACATTTATAACTTATGAACAGACTTAAATAAACCTAGTCTGCTATTACTTTTGTTGCTATTGCTCAAGAAAGTTCGGTAAACTCTTGCAATGTTTGTTACTTTTGTTGCCTTTACTCACGGAAGTATCACATTCGGGATACTTTTGCTATGTTTGTTACCTTTGTTGCCATTGCTCACGGAAGTATTACATTCGAGACACTTTTGCTACGTTTGTTACATCTGTTGTATTGTTAAGTACATGATATTTGATAACATTCTATCCAAAAATTCTTCGGAAAAGAATTCTAGGAACTATATTATGAAATATACAAAGCATTTATGGACACCTGTACAGATTTTCGCTCTTCTGCCTGCTTATTAGATCACATTTTTACAATAATTTTGTATCGGGCTAAGTTGTAGTGATAGACTTGTCTGAATACAATATGTTAAAGAAGCGTCAACATTATCTTTTTGTTAATTTGTTTCCCAGCATGATGAACATCCTCGATGCGTCAGTCTGATCGGATCAGGTTGTTACAACCTAAACAAGTAAAGAAACTGATAGCGAACAGCATGGATCCTGATCAGACTGCGCGGATGCGCAGGCTGATCTGGATCCATGCTGATCGCAAACCCATTATGTTGGTTTTGTTGTGACGTGTCTCAAATTATTCGTTTTGTTATTTCTGTTTCAGCAAGATGATCATCCTCGTAATCGTTAGTGTTGTAGTCGGATTAGGTAATGTGATTCACATCCGTTTTAACAAGTTGTTCGTAAATGATTTAGGAAGAAAAATGAAGCCTTTAAAGGCACGTCTCAAAAACGAATACACTTTTCCTTCTCTAGAATGGGTACACATGAGTTTAACAACAATTAAATAATGGTTTTAGGGCATGTTAGATGATTATCACGTACATAAAAGTAAAGCTTCATGTGAAATAATGTGCCATGAAAGTAGTAAAATGTAAAACAAAATCGTATTATGACTCCGATACAAAAATACTTAATTACAATAACTATACTAATTGCAAAAATGCAAACGAAGCAAAGGATGACACGGGTATAATATGGCCAATAAGAAATTTTTGGAAACTGAAGTCGGACTACAAAATTGAAAAGCTTGATTGAAATAAAACTTTCTTGGGTAAAATGGGCCTTTAGTTATATTTTCAATATAAAAAGGCCAATTTATCCTCTTCGTTGGTTTGTTGTTGTTGTTGTTGTTCGTTCTTTGTGTGGTCTTAATATGTCAGAATTTCAATGTAATGGCATAATTAATATATTTCTGGAAACATGCATGCTAGAATAATAAGTAGATAATACTAAAAATAAGGTTGCGAAACGCTCAGAAAAAAAAACACACAACAAAATATTCAAATAGTATATATTTATTCATATTAAGAGATTGTATCTTTATATTTGTATGATAAGTGGCCGGACAAGAGGAGGGAGAAGTGTCATTTTCAGCAGGTCTTACTCACGACCAAACCATACAACATGCTGGAAACGTCATATTCAACAAAGTGTTCTCAAACAAAGGCAGTGGCTATGATAACAATACTGGTGTATTCACCTGTCCATTAGCCGGCTACTATGTATTCCAGGTAAGCTTTTACCCCCCCCCCCTCACACCGCCTCACATCCGATTTCCATGCAATTAAGTTTTTACTATCGTATCTGGTTCAAATTTCATTTTGAAGGTTCCTACCTGCCACACATGCTAAATGTATCATGAAAAAGTTGTCGTCTGCTTGACATCCGGATTAAAGTTATTTCTGTTATATTTTTGCCGGTGTCACTCCTGGTTCCAATGATTTCAGGCCAGTGTTCAGCACTGCAGTTGGTTTCTACTTATTAACGGTAAATATCATAAGCCTGTTTCTATGTGTAATAAGTTATAACCTGACTGGCATAGTATAATTGTCTCCATACATTCAAACTGACACTTTTCCGGTCATCGCTGTTCCTTCACACTTACGTTTTAGCAGGTGGTAAGCTGGACCACTAGATTTGAAATTTAGGTGGCCCTTCCGAATGAATATAATTCATCCTCGTATATAGTTGAAATATGACATTGTCAACAGTTTTGCAATTAATATTGCTTACAATAAATGTACCTGCACGTATGTCTTTGTCCATTTTCCGGCATTATATTATCTTTATATACTCTACATATTTCGTGAATTATTTCGAGTTTAATCAAAGAAAAAAGTCTGCCGTATTACAAAATCGTTATATGGCATTCGGTCGGGTTATATGACCGTGTCTAAACAGTTTGTTGCCATATAACCCTTTCGGCTAACATTTGTTTATACTCGTGTTGAACCAAATATACCAGATGACATACAAATTTTTAAAGTAACTATTTATATAGTCACAAATAAAAGAAATGAAACTACAACACTTTTCAAACACATTTTCGTGTAAGAATGTACTTTTCGTTTATCATTTCAGTTCCATATGCTAGCACAGAATTACAGGTCCGCTTGGTTGGAACTATTTACAAGAATGCCGATTATAGTGAGTCGGTTTATGGTCACAACACTGATGACTACGCCAGCGGCGGCAACTCCGTTATTCTCAAACTCGCACAAGGAGACACGGTTTAGACTTTATACTGATTTATTATATTTCAACACCTTCAGTCAAACCTGTTTTTAAAGGCCACATGATAAATAATAAAGGCCACTCTGAGACAAGCCTAAATTGACTATAATGAACAAATTAACTCAAATTAGAGACCGCTTGTCTATAAAGGACATGTTCGTTCGGCCTCTCTCTTGGATGGCCTAAATTAACAGGTTTGACTGTATTGGAATATGCTTTTTTAATATCAACACGTCTGTCAAACATTTGAAAAAAAAGAAACATTTAAATGATAAGCGGACAATTTAAGATGTGACTCGCGTTTTTTATTTTTTTTATTCTTTTTTTTTGCCTTTTATAGGTGATAAATTCTTGTAGAAAAAGTGGATAGATAAAAACCCCATAAACTTGTATTTGTATTACAGTCCTACATACGTTTTAATTCCAGATTTCGATCAAAGGGGTCGACAATAGTTTCGGGTCGGACACAAACTTATATGGACGTCAGGATGAAATATACTGTGTTCTAAGCGGGTATCTTGTCCATGCCGACTAAAACACTGGAACACTTTGTTTGACATATTTTTAATATTGTGGAAAATATATGATACAAGAAATCTGTTGTGTATGTTGTTTTTATATACCAATTTTGCTGCGTTCTTATTTCTAAAAAAAAACACATTTAAGGGTAAAAGGATTATTTGATTTAAGTGCTTCCATGTACCTATTTAGAAGTAAATCTTGATTGCCTTATTGGTTTAAGGGGAATACGAGCGTTGAAAATTCTGATACTTTAAATAGTTACAGTGAATATTAAAAATGTTTCTCAGCAGCCAAATAAGTTACTTATGTTAAGAAAAACATACCTCGTGTATGGTGGCTGATTTGTAACATTCGTGTTTTCACCCCGTGATCCCGCCAAGCGAAAAGTCGAGAATTAACAAGTTATAATGCTCGGGCGCGGAGCGAAAACACGCTATTTAGCGGGAACGAGGAGCGAAGTTTAAGAAATAAAAGGGCTTGGGGCGGTGGCGAAAACACGCTTATTAGCGGGTAATTTAACTCATTACAGGACTCGAACAGTACTTCTAGACGCTTGCAGAAATCATTACCACAAAATAGACAAACATCGTTTTTTTCGACGATTTTTACATTTTTCATTCATTATCATACATGAATCGGTGTGAAAAGATAAATAAACCTTTTACAGTTCATTCCTTTGGGTGATAAGGCAAGATTTTAGCATTTAAACATTCAAGCGCCTTGTCCACTTGTCCAGTATATGCCGGATTACGGTATTTAGTGCAGTTTTCCAATCCTTTTTCAGTCTCACTCATTATCGTGGACGCTGGGCAAAGTTTGATGAATAAAACTTCGCCCCATACCCCCGCTAATTAGCGTGTTTTTGCCCCGAAATCCCGCAAAAAGAAAGGTCGAGAATTAACAAGTTAGAATGGCGGGCGCGGAGCGAAAACACGCTAATAGCGGGGTCTCGATTTAATGAATAAACCGTCGCCTTGTGGTGCCAGGAGCGAGATTAAAAGAAAATAAAACGGTTGGGCGCGGGGCGAAAAACGATAATTAGCGGAGGCGCAGTGTGAAGATTAATTCATTAAAATGTCGCATCTGGCCCATATAGGACACCATATCTAAACCGTTGAAATTTTATCGCAATATTGATTGGATCTGACAATAACTTTATTATTAACTACCTGTCCATGACACAAATATGTTGTGCTTAAATTTTCACTCTTGTTAAACTGTGTTTTTAACTGTTTTGTTAAACTGTATTTAAAACGGTGTTATGAAATTTGTTTCAATTTGAAATATCATATACTAAAACTAAAATCATTTACATTGGATAAATCAACAAAAGTGTTTGATATGGACGTTTTGGAACATACTTGTTAAAAGATTGCGTATATGCCTAAATACGAGTATCATTGTAATTATTAATTATTATATTTGTGATTATTATTATTATCATTATTAATATTTCATTTTTTTTTATTACTACTACTACTACTACTACTATCATTTATAAATAAGAGTCTCTTTTATTGTAACGTTGGCTTTAAACTACAACAGGTTATATGTAATAAATACATAAATATTAAATGTGACTATATAAAGATAAAAATAACTATTAACAAGGAGTCATTCAGAACTTTAAACTTGATACTGAACATGTGTTGTTTAAGTATATTTAATACTTACAGGTTAAATAGATAAGAGTAGTTCGCCTTTTCAGTAGTTTTAGTTACCAATTGTTTCCTATGCTACATACATGTAATAGCTCTTGTTTTCTGTTGAAGTAGATTTTATTTAGCCATTTTTTAAAAACTTTCTGGTGCGCATTTTTTTTAATTCACTAGTTCTTTTTATCTGTTTAATTAGATTTTATTTTGCCATTATTTTTTTAAAAAAAAAAATCTGGTGCATATTTTTTAAAATTCACTATTTTAGTTTAAACACATTTTATTGCATCAAAAACATATAAAACATTATACAAATGATAGATATAAATGTATAACAGAAATGAAATGGGTAGGACAAAAAGTTCTAGCAACATTAAATTAAACCCGTCCCAGTGTTAACTAAGCCTCGCCTACGATTTTACAGTCACACACATAGTTCTACTTTCAGTTTGCTTGGCCTTTTAACTTACTTAAAGCACAAACTTGTTATTGATTCGTTCTTATCTTGATCATTTATATTTCTATTAATATGTTAAGTTTTACGATAGAATATTGATTGTTTTAATAATTTTATAATATATAATGACAGGTTATATTGCCGCTAGGCGAGGGTTATATCGTAAATCACCGTTTTAATACGGCCGTATAACCTGTGACTAATCTTTAATACGAATTCTTTATAAAGCAAACTTCCTTAACTAGAGAGAGAAAAAATAAAGCTACAGCCGTGTAAATACGTATAAACGTCACGATTATCCAGCGAATGAATGTACAAATATTGTGCAGTCCTTTAAAAAAACCCTGGCATATTCAAAAGTTGAAATAAGCAAATAAGAGATCAATAATCATTGTACATTTGTATATAATACAAAAAGCGGAAGTCAATTTGTATTTTTTATCTTGCTATTGACGTATTTAATTTGTATACGGTATAATTGTGCTATTAATAGACAGTTTATTGACAGTGTTTAAATCTTTTCAGTATTTCGATTATCAGTGGTTTGTTATCTGTCAGATATTGAATTTAACGTCATGTCAGTTCATTTAAAGGCATACCTAGGGTAACATATATAGCAGATTAAAAACTACATATTATTAAAATGTATTCAAACTCAAACATGAGGTCAGTGAACGTCAAGTATTTCTCGCTTTAACTGTGTCTGTTGTTAAGATAAATTCTATTACGTAGTCTTCACTACGCTTGTATATGTTACCCTAGCATACTTTAATTTGTTTTAATGGAAACAGGAATAACACTAGTTTCAGGCATTTCAGGATTTGAGCATTGTCACTCCTCTGTTCTTGATTAAATGATAACCAATGAACATTAACCTTTACTTAAACACAAACAATCAGTTGAAGTTAATCAGGACAAAGATAAAAGTGAAATAAAAAAAGTAGGACAGGATAATTATATGCGTGTTATACAGTCAATCAATATACGTGTACTGTAAAATATTGATGTGACATCTGAAAAATCTTGTAAAATTTCATCTTCATGGACACTCATTTTGTTAAATACTTGCGAAAGACAAAATGGCGACCGTGGACTACCTGCTTGTTGCAGCCATTGACCTTGGAACGACTTACAGTGGGTACGCGTACTCTTTTCGCGACAACCAGGAAGTAGTTCATATTAACCAAGCTTGGAACGCTGGCACGCAGAAATTAATTTCTCAGAAAACACCGACATGTTTGCTGTTAAATTCACAAGAAGAATTTCATTCGTTTGGCTTTAAAGCTGAGAACAAGTTTGCTGACCTGGCGGAAGACAACGAACATGGGGACTGGCTTCTGTTTCGACAGTTTAAAATGTTGCTACATGATGAGAAGGTATTTAAGTTGTTGTTGGTTGTTTTTTTGTTTGTTAATTGATCAATATGAAGCCAATATTGCTAGTTATTTTTAATATAAACACAGATTGACCACTTAGTAAACTATTTCACAGATACTTAATTAGCGTGTAGACCCCCACCCTTCGCCGTCCCTGAATATTAAAAACTAAAAGTAGATTTCTATTATTTATTACAAGAACTAGTTTTAATTTTTTGCTTACATATATATGAGACGGTTAAGTGTTTTACACGTGAACAAGTTTGAACAGATTTTCATAACGCTAAAAAAACGGCTTCAATTTGAAATGATATTTTTGAGTGTTTTTTAATGTTGTCAAAATTGTGGAAACAAGTTTTATGTTCAAGGCATGTGACCAGGTCGCAATAATATGCAAAAAATATTCCGGCGTACGGTTTTCAAACTAAAAATAGACATGGTATATACACTTGCGGATCAAGAAGAGGAGCCACGCACATAACCCCAAGTGTCTGTGAACTATTTTAATAAACGTGTATAGATAGTAAGAGGCACCAACCCTATAACGAGTGACCCTTTGCACAGAAGCTTATGGCCAATATACTAAATTCTATACCGAATCATATGTTATTTCACATGATTAGGCCATATGCAAGCCATTATATTTACTCAGAAATGCTTTATCACTTAAAGCTGTACATTTATACTAAATTACGAACTTAGAACTTATTCAACATAATTTGAATCGAGTAGTAGTAGATTTGTGCAAGATAATTTTTATAAACGTAACATATTATCAGCCAATTACTAAGTCAGTATTAAATACTGAAATTGCCAGCCGTTTGATATATATATCAACTTTATTTATTGTTAGGCATTTAGTATGTCAATTTAGAAACTCATATTGTCAGCCTTAAATACTTTCAACCAATTACATGTACTACGTACGTCAATATCAAACACTGACATTTTCAGCTATTTACTAAATCAGCTTGAAACATTGTCAGCCATTTACTACGTCAATATCAAAAACTGACATTGTCAGCCATTTACTACGTCAATATCAAAAACTGACATTGTCAGCCATTTACTACGTCAATATCAAAAACTGCTATTGTCAGCCATTTACTACGTCAATATCAAAAACTGACATTGTCAGCCATTTACTACGCCAATATCAAAAACTGCTATTGTCAGCCATTTACTTTATCAACTTGAAACATTGTCAGGCATTTACTACGTCAATATCAAAACATGACATTGTCAGCCATTTATTATATAAACTTGAAACATTGTCAACCATTTACTATTTCAATATTAAATGCTAAAAATGTCCACCGTTTACTATATCAACTTACTTATAATGCCATGCATTTTCTTTGTCAACATTATATTCTCAAATAGTTCGCCATTTACTATATCAACTCGATACATTGTCAGCCATTCAATATGTCAATATCATGTAGTTATATTGTCAGCCATTTACTGTTACATCAACATGGTACTTGCCAGTTATGTCAATATTACATACTCATATTTTCAGCCAATAATTTTGTCAACATAATTACGTCCCCGCACAACAAAGTTTTGAGGGGGGTATACTGGCATCAGCATGTCCGTCCGGCCGTTCGCAGGTTTTTCCTTGTGTGCCTATTAACTCAAGATTCCTTTGACCAACAGTCTTCATATTTGGCATTAAGATTGGTCATCGTTAGTAGATAATCCCTATTGATTTTGATGTCACCAGATCAAAGGTCATGGTCACAGGGGCCTTGACTAAAAAACATTGTCCGCCCATTTACTTAAGAATCCTTTGACCAAAAATCTTCATATTTGGCATGGAGGTAAGACATAATTTTTTGGATGACTCCTTTTATTTTTGAGGTCACTGGGTCAACAAAGATCAAGGTTACAGGGTTCTTGATTAAAGAAAGCTTATCTGTGCAATAACTTAAGAATCCTTTGATCTACAGTATTCATATTTGGCAAGGGGATCAGACATTATTATCAGATGACGCCTATTGATTTTAAGGTCACTGATTCAAAGGTCAAGGTCAAAAGGGCCGTGACTTAAAAAAAACCGTGTCCGCCAAATGACTTAAGATTCCTCTGACCCATAGTCTTAATATTTGGTATTGATATTTGACATGACAAGTAGGTGAGGGATCTTGGTCAAAGGCCAAGGTCACAGGGGCCTTGACTTTAAACAGCTTGTCCGCCCAAATAAATTAAGATTTTTTTTACCAACAATATTCATATTTGACATTGACGTTGGTTATGACCATTAAGTAACTCCTATTGCTTTAGAGGTGATTTTGAGGTCACAAGGTCAAAGGTCAAGGTCACAGGGGCCTTGACTTCAATAACCTAAGTATCACTTGACCCACAGCACCATCTTCATATTTGGCATGGGGGTTAGTCATAACAATTAAATGATCTCTATTGATTTTGATGTCACTGGGTTAAAGATCAAGGTCACATGGGGCCTTGACTAAAAACAGCTTGTCCGGCAAAACATTTAAGATTCCTATGACCCACATTCTTCATATTTGGCATTGACGTTGGTCATGACCATCAAGTAACCAGCTTGTCCGCCCAACAAATTAAGATTTTTTTTTTACACACAGTCTTCATATTTGACATTGACGTTGGTCACGACCATTTAGTAACCCCTATTGCTTAAGAGGTAACTGGGTCAAAGGTCAAGGTCACAGGGGCCTTGACTTCCAAAAGCTTCTCTGTTCAATCCCTTTAGAATAATTTGGTCAACAGTCCTGTTATTTGTTATTGAGGTTCGTTATGACTAGTAGATGATCTCTATTGACTTTTAGGTCACTAGGTCAAAGGTAAAGATCAGAAGGGCCTTGACTAAACAAGAGCCCGGTTTGAGCCGGGTGATGCTCCCCTAAAAGGTTTTGGACACAGGAAAGTACACCTCTTGTAGTTTCAGAGTTATGTCCCTGGAGAAAGTTCAAAGTGCAATAATTCCAAAATTAGGCAAGGCAGAGTTACAGTTCTTTGCATTGCACTTTTAATCAATGTGATCTATCAACCTACAAAGTTTCTTGATGATATCTCTTATGATTTCCGAGTTATGTCCTGGACAATTCAAAAAGTAAAAATAAACAAAGGGCAATAACTCCAGAGTTAGGCAAGGTAGAGATGATTCTTGTGCACTGCCCATCTACCCATTGAGATATATCTACATACAAAGTTTCATGTTGATATCTCTTATAGTTTTACAGCTATGTCCTGGACAAGATTTTATAAAAGGGGAGATTATTCAAAAATGAGGCTTAACAGAGTTATGGTTCTTTTGCACTGCACCTCTACTCAATGAGATCTATCTACCTACAATGTTTCATGTTGATATCTCTTATAGTTTTAGAGTTATGCCCCGGACAAGATTTTTCTATAAGGGGAGATAATTCAAAAACCGGGCAAAATAGAGTTATGGTTCTTTGACACTGCACTCCCCCTCGATGCCCTCTACCACTGTATGAAGTTTCAACAAATTATCTCCAGGGGTTTTCAAGTTATGTTCCGGACAAAGTTCAAAGTATTAAAATTAACAAAGGGCAATAACTCCAAAATTAGGACAAAAAGAGTTATTGTTCTTCTGCACTGCACATCTACCAATTGAGATCTATTCACCTACAAAGTTTCATGTTGATATCTCTTATAGTTTTAGAGTTATGCCCCGGACAAGAATTTTCTATAAGGGGAGATAATTCAAAAACCGGGCAAAATAGAGTTATGGTTCTTTGACACTGCACTCCCCCTCGATGCCCTCTACCACTGTATGAAGTTTCAACAAATTATCTCTAAGGGTTGTCAAGTTATGCTCCGGACAAGACAACGGACGGACAGACGGACGGACGGACAGACGGACAAGGCGCCGACTATATGCTTCCCCGAAATTTTTCGGGGAGCATAAAAACGCTTGTCCGCCCAATAGCTTAAGAATCCTTTGACCAACAGTCTTCATATTTAGCTTTGAGGTAAGGCATGACAATAAGATGACCCCTAATGATTTTCAGGTCACAAGGTCAAAGGTCAAGGTAACATGGGTCTTGTCTTCAAAAGTTTGTCCGCCCAATAATCTAAGTATCATTTGACCCACAACACAGTCTTCGTATTTGGCATGGAGGTTAGTCATGACAATTAGACGACCTCTATTGATTTTGATGTCACTGGTTTAAAGCTCAAGGTCATAGGGGCCTTGAACAGAAACAGCTTGTTCGCCAAAAAAATTAAGATTCCTTTGACCCACTCTCTTCATATTTGGCATTGATGTTGGTCATGACCATTAAGTAACCCCAATTGATTTTGAGGCCACTGGGTCAAAGGTCAAGGTCACAGGGGCCTTGACTTCAAAGGGATTGTCAGCCAATCCCTTAAGAATACTTTGGTCAACAGTCTTCATATTTGGTATTGAATTTGGTTATAACTAGTAGATAACCCCTATTGATTTATATATGACTGCGTCAAAGGTCAAGGTCACAGGGGCTTACAACAATAAGCTTGTCTGCTCAAATGCTTAAGAATTCCTGTCCACAGTGTATTGATGTGTATTGATTTCGGCATTTTCACATTTGAAGCATATAATTATGTTTTCATACATTCATCATAAAACACCCCCAGGCAAAGCTGCATGAATGGGAGGTGGGTGGAGTCATGCGGTGGCATTGTCAGTTTTGAGGTCAAAGGTAGAGGACAATTTGATCTTTGCCGCTCAAAAAATGAAGAATACATAACTTCGCAATGCACTGGCTTAATACCCTCAGATTTGGAAGGGAGGTTGTCCTTTACTAATTTTTACTTATATTGTCAGTATTTTAATATAATATCAACTTAATATGTTCTAAACCATTTAGAATGTCAACATTTTATACTTATATTGGCGGCAATTGACTTTTATATCAACTCGATACATTGTCAGCCATTTACTTTGCCAACAATATTATTATACTAATATTTTCAGCCATTGTCTAAAATATCAACTTGATATATTTTCAGCCATTTTAACCATTTACTATTTCAACATTATGTACCTATATTGCCAGTCAATGACTATCATATCAACTCGATACATTGTCAGCCATTTATTATGCCAGCAATTTACCAATATTTTCAGCCATTGTCTAAAATATCAACTAAATATAATTTTCAGCTTTTTTTAACCATTTACTATGTCAACATTCTATACTTATATTTCCAGTCAATGACTATTATATCAACTCGATACATTGTCAGCCATTTATTATGTCAATATTAAAATTATACTAATATTTTCAGCCATTGACTGAAATATCAATTTTTTAGCAATTTTCAGCCATTTACTATGTCAACATTTTATACTTACCTTTTTAGCCATTGTCAACTTTTAGCCATTGTACCAACTTCTTGATATATTTTCAGCCGTGTTCAGCCAGATATACTGTCACTTACAAGCAAGTATCATATTACAATTTTAAACTTCTCATTATACAAATATTTCAGAATCTTTCAAAGGAATTGAAGGTTGTTGATTTTAATGGTACTAGATCTATGCCAGCACTCACAATTTTTGCCATGAGTTTGAAATATCTAAAAGAGAAACTGTTGGAAGATATCAGAGGTTTTAAAGATGAAATAGTTGAGACTGACATCAAATATGTGATAACTGTCCCTGCTATTTGGAGTGATCCTGCCAAACAGTTCATGAGGGAAGCAGCTGAGGAGGTTAGATGCTTATTGTCCCCTGCCTTTTCGATGAAAAAAAGGGGATATAGAAATAGACTCCGTCCGTCTGTCTGTTCATCCGCACTCACAGGAGAGTAATTATGTGGCTAGAGGGACAATAGGTAACTGTTCTTTCTCTTTGATGTCATTCATTCCGTAATGCTTTTATGTGGCTATTTTCTTTTGTGTGGCTAAAAAGAACAATAGAGAGAACAATAGAGTAGCCACATAATTACTGTCCTGTGAGAACGTCCGTCAATCTGTCCGTACAAACCAGAGCTACATTATGGGGTTTGGTCTATTGTTCTCATAACAATAGATGTCTTTGAAGTCATTCATTCCGTTTCTCTTGTGGGGTTATTATCTGCATTGTGGGGTTAAAAAGAACAAAATAAATAACAAAAGAAAACCCCATAATGTAGCTCTGGTAAGAACGTCTGTCCATCCGTCCGTCCGTCCGTCACACTTTCGTGTCCGGTCCATAACTTTGTCAATTATCAAAGGAATTTGAAATAACTTGGCACAAATGTTTGTTATAATAAGACAATGTGTCATGCGCAACAATCAGACCCCTACCACCAAGGTCAAGGTGGCACTTGCTCATTCAAGGTCAACATTGTCTATTTGAGGGTATATATAGTGTCCGGTTCATAACTTTCTTATCTTTTAAGGGATTTTGTAAATACTTGCCACAATTGCTCACAATAATGAGAAGATGTGTCATGCGCAACAACCATTCACCTACATCCAAGGTCAAGGCCACACTTGGAGGTCAAAGATTAACATAGTCTGTTACAGGGTATATTTCGTGTCCGGTCCCTAACTTTGTCATTTATCAATGGAATTTGAAATAACTTGGCACAAATGTTTGTTATAATAAGACAATGTGTCATGCGCAACAACCAGATCCCCTACCTCTAAGGTCAAGGTTGCACTTGCTCATTCAATGTCAACATTGTCTATTTGAGGGTATATGTCGTGTCCGGTCTATAACTTTCTTATCTTTGAAGGGATTTTGTAAATACTTGCCACAATTGTTCACAATAATGAGATGATGTGTCATGCGCAACAATCGGTCACCTACCTCCAAGGTCAAGGTCACACTTGGAGGTCAAAGATTAACATAGTCTGTTATAGGGTATATTTTGTGTCCGGTCCATAACTTTTTCATATATCAAAGGATTTTGAAAATACTTGGCACAAATAGTCACTATAATAAGACGATGTGTCATGCGCAACACCTGCATCCCTACCTCCAAGGTCAAGGTCACATTTCGAGGTCAAAAATTAACATAGTCTGTTAAAGGGTATATATTGTGTCCGATCTAGAACTTCTTCATAGTTCAAGGGATTTTGAAATAACTTGGCACAAATAGTCACAATAATAAGACGATATGTCAGGTACAACACCTGCACCATACCTCCAAGGTCAAGGTTACACTTAGAGGTCAAAAGTAAACAGAGTCTGTCATATGGTATATATTGTGTCCCGTCCATAACTTCTTCATAGATCAAGGTATTTTGAATTAACATGGAACAAATAGTCACAATGATAAGATGATATGTTTTCCACGCCCGCAGTGTATTGGTATGCGGCATGGAGGAGCATGTGACTTGTTTTCGGTACATGGACGAGTACGTGATCTGTAAACCGTACTTAATCGGTTAATCAACGTTGCAATGTTGTTGTTTTTTAATTAATAAAATCTATATATAGAAAATGTAAACATGAAAATAGTATTGTAGTCTGCTTGCAAGAGAAATCTCAGACGGCTCGATGATACAGACGGATGCCATACTAATCGGCTCTTTCCGGTCTCCGGTCTTCGACGGTCACTGGTCTCCAAAGACTTTCTCTTGATAATTTATTCTCGATTTATATTATTAAAACTTTCCCCCGTAGGAAATCTTTTTAACGTGCATAATTATATTTATAGAGTGAGAAAGTAAAATGTAAAGAGAACATATAAAGCAGACGCAGACTATAAGAATCTTACACCGGCTGCCGGTACAGAATTGATTATCTACCCTTCTGCCATGGAGTAGGTTCCTTCAGAAATTAGCGTTCTACCGACTGAACTATTGCGACATTTATACTTATTTATACAAGTATCAGTCAAACGCACAATCAAAAGGATGTGCAACATTTCATTTACCTATATAGTATTTACATGGACTGTTCCCTACTATAAATAGATATGAAGAAAGTTCTGTTTATCGTCCTCGGATTATAGTTTCTAAATCACTGTTCTATATTTTTACAGGCTGGTTTTGATTCGAATAGATTAAACATTGCCCTTGAACCGGAAGCAGCCTCGATATGGTGCAGAATTGAAAAGGAAACAAAAACTGTTATTTCCGGCTTTGACACAAAATATATTGTTGTTGATCTAGGAGGTAACTTTAAAAATACAGGCGTGTTACTATTAATACGATGTACGATAATTGATCAAAAAGTTCTTGGTCCGATGTACTTTCAATAGTCAGAGAACCCAACTAATGGTCTTACTTTTCAATACAATCGCCCTCTACATCAATGCACTTTGCCCACCTGTGCTCCAACTTGTTTAACCCTTCAAAATAGAACTCTCTATTTGGTCCTCAAAGAACTCATTGACCGACTCCATGACACCTTCGTTGCTTCCAAAACGTCTACCACGAAGCTTGGTTTTACTCAAGATAGTCAATCATCATTATCCCCTGACTATTCACAAAAATTGAAGCCATCATCTTCCCTGTTGATGCCACCCTCTTGAACTTCTTCGGAGGGGGTGAGCCAGGGTGCTTCCACTCCATGCTATGTTTTTTGGATTCTGTTTGAAGTGATGGACCGATGTTTCATCCTGAGTTACGATCCGGTAGATAAAGTCAGGTTCATCCTCGTAGCGAGACAAAAGATATCTTGAAATGTCAAGCCTGGTCCGTTTCTGGTCGTCAGTCAACTCAAAGGAACTTGAAATTCTATCAATATTAATATGTTAATGATAATATCCAAAATATACACCCTAAAAATAACAAGTTTGCAAGTTAAATACTGTCAAACTAGAACAAATGACTAATTTGTTTCTTATGACATGGCTGAATTTATTTGCTGGGCCATATCCAATAGAGTACTCAATTTTTTTTCAAAAACGAAAGTACTATTTCAAAGATTTACCGGTCTTGTTTGGGGTTTCCCTTTCAAATGTATTTATAAAAGTAATTTGTTAAAAAGGTTTTACATAAAGATGTTTAAATATATTTAGTACATAGAATAATTTGTATAAAAGTTTAATACACACCTGTTATTTTTTGGAACTTATTAAAAAAATTTTTTATAAATATTATTCTCCTCGAATCAAAATCCAGTGACGTCACGGAATGGATTCGGCGACAAACTCAGATCGCGGGAAATAATCAGAAAATGTTGAATTATTCCTACACAGCTACGCGATTAAAAAAAGTTTTCGGTGGTATTTGATGCATTTATGTATTGTTTATCGAAATGGCCCGATAGATTATTTTGATCCGTTATTTTGTAGATTTCTTCGGCATAAATTATGTTGGGGTGGGGAAAAGGCGTTTCATTCCTTGTGTTTATTTATACTGTAAAGGGGGTATATTTTGGATATTACCATTAATATTGATAGAATTTCAAGTTCCTGTGGTCAACTGTCTGGGGACCCACCTAGCGGAAACCTTTGACATGCCATTTACATCAGTCACAGTTGCCTGAACTGAACCATATCTTATACCCTGTAACCCACTTTCCTAGCAATGCTTCGCAGGGTCCGCCTTCTGTCGCACGAACAAGCTTCGGCAGTTTCATCGTTGGTGGCTTCTTTTGGCCGCCCAGGCTGCTTATCGACTTCCAATGCTCTCCTCACTCAGTCTGTAAATTAGCAGCCGAAATTTGATTTCCATCGTGCTTGATGGAAGGGACTCCTTAACGGAGTGTATCAATGAAATCTTTTTCTAGGGGACATCCATTTAACCTCCCAAGAAGTCTTAATTAACGCTTCTGATTTTTTTCTTCGTTTGATATAAAATATAATATATCCCGCTTTGATCAAAGTGTTCATGTTTTCAATACTGCGTTCAAAACGGACAGTGCAAACATTATCAGTAATCTTCAAAAGAACGGGTTTCGTATCCTGTGTAAATGTCAGTGTAGTGGTAGAAGTATATCAGGCCGAGAACTTTATGATCATTCCTCGTATATGACTTGATCGGTTATATGGCCCAATATAAAGGTAAGTGCTATTACCAAAGGTGAAAAATTTATAGCGAACAACGTCATTTAACCTGCCAAAAAGCCTTAATTACACGTTCATATTACTGCATAATTGTTTTCTTCGATTATAGATAATATTATAAACCTTATAATTATATAAATATACAGTACGGCATTTGTATGCAAAGGTCGAAAACATCATGTTTGTCCAAATACCGATGTCACAAACGGACAGTTTCACAACATATATAAATGCTGTCGAAAGAGGGCAGCCCACGGGGATCTCTTTTCGACGCTTGCCACCGAAAAGGGTTTCAAAATCTAAAGTTTTTGGAATTACTTTGAAAATTATTGACATTATGGGTCAAAACAGCAGGGAAATCGTGCTGTATTTTAATGTAAAAAATAAATAATAAGTGTTTGAAATATCTCAGGAAGACATCATTCTGACTAAAGTTCAGATCTACTTAAGTTATTTTTTGCATGTAGATCTGATGGTCAGCCACCGTATTTGTTTCGCCTTCATTGCCGGATTTCCCGAGATAGCTTAATGAAACCGTCCTTTACAAAAAAAATGCTGATTTCTGTTTTCAAGTAATTTGTAACAAATGGACTCAATCATTTTTGAATTTTACCTGCCATCTTTATGAACTACGCATGTTTTATCTCGAAATCGTGAAAACAACATACTGAGTACTGGTTTTTCAGAGGTTAAATTTATAAACTGCATCGCATTTATTGTGATCATTGACAGTTTGGAAAGGTTACGAGAAGGTGATCTCCTATTGGTGCCCTTCATATCCTAATGCGTAGCGTTAGTTACGAGCTAATTTTAATGAGATTGATGAAGACATCTAAGGTGTTTAAAAAATAAACCCCTGTCCAAGTTCTTACCGAGAACAATCTGACCGCGGGAAAACAGCACAATTAATGTTTTCATCTTATTTTTCTTGTACTTAAATGTTTATGGTAAATAACAGTTTCCGTTTGTCATTCTTTGTATACACGTATCATCATTTTGATCACAATACCTTTTTTAGGCGATACGCAGGCTTTTCACCGTGAACTGTTTGGGCACCACACTAAATACCGTGTTCCAGTATATACCATACAAGGCGCGTGAATGATTAAATGCTAAAACATCGCTTTTTTCACCAGTCGAAACTATAAAATGGCGCGCAATTCACAAAATAGAGCTCCACTTTTGTAGTTTATTCGGACATATATACTGTTACAGTGCAGTACGTGTATTATAAAGTTTAATAATACAACAAAAGACAAGTTGCACCTTTTACTATGATACAGCTTTTGAATATTGCACGTTCAGAATACAAAATAGTCTACTTTAATGCTGTGTAAGAAAATGTATGATTTTTATTCATGGGATTTACAAAGTAAAATATATATTACATATTTTATTGTAGGAGGTACAGCAGATATTACTGTGCACGAAGTTGGCAGAGATGCTACATTAAAAGAGTTACATAAATCGAGCGGGGGACCTTGGGGCGGAACATATGTCGACAAGAACTTCTTACAGTGGATGACGGATATTTTTGGTTCTAAAACCATTGAAAGATTCAAGTCGGAAAATATCGCAGATTACTTTGATCTGCTGAGAGATTTTGAAATGAAAAAGCGAAATGTAGATACTGACAGTTCAGTGAAATGCACCATTAAACTAGCCTCATCTTTAATGGAAATATATGAAAAGGAGAATGAACTTACTCTACCCGACAAAATATCTGATAAGGGACTCAGTGAACAAGTGCGAGTGACAGCTGATAAACTTCGTATTGACAACGCTATATTATGCGGTTTCTTTGAAACTCCACTCAATAGTCTAGTCAGTCATTTACAAAACATTTTGCATAAGGGGAATATTATGAAAAATGTGAGCACAATTTTACTGGTTGGTGGTTTTGGTGAAAGCAAATTAGTACAGAGTAAGGTGCAAACACATTTAAAAACTAAACGAGTTCTATCTACTCGCGATGCTGGCCTAGCTGTAGTGAAGGGCGCTGTCGTGTTTGGTCACGAACCTAGGATAATTTCGGCTAGGGTGATGAAGTACACCTACGGATTTAAACTTCATCTTCCCTTTAATGCAAGAAAACATGATAAAGATAAAGCATTTATGTTAAACGGCGAAGAGAGAGTATATGTCTTTCGGGCAATAAACAAGGCAGATGAAAGTGTAGAAGTTGGCTATAGTACAATCATGTGCAACATGCAACCAAGAAAGTTAGATCGTACTATTGTAGAGTTGTACTCTTCCGAAAAGGATAAAGTAATGTATGTTACAGATGATGGTTGCAAAAAACTTGCCACTCTAGAAGTTTCTCATCCTGAAGGTAAAACACTTGCAGATAAAAAATTCGATTTGACTTTCATTTTTGGCGAAACTGAACTGATTGTTAAAGCTAGAATTCAGAAGACTGGCCGGGAATTTAATACAGAAGTCAATTGTTTACAGGATAGTGAAAATGATGCAAGTGGTATATAGAAGATTGTAGTATCCGGTTGCGGTTGATTAACTCATCCAATCACAGACAATTTCAAACCTTCTACCAAAAAGTGTATGTTATTATTTTGCAATATCTATTTGTTTATCCAAACTGTTTTTGTTCTCTTACTTATGTAACGATACAAACTCATGTTTAATCTCTTCAGCCGTGTAAACTTTGTATTGTTATAAGGCTTTTTTTTTAGCCCAAACACATTTTCAAGTTTTTTATTTCTTTTTTAAAACATTGTTTCCTGTAACAATTTTGTAATTAAAATCATGTAATTGAATAAACTACAGTCTCTTCTTTTTTTGGCAGTTAGTACAGTCATAGTAATTTAGTATATTCTATAGAAGACAAAGAACTTCTGTACGTATTCATTTTAATTCAAATTATTTTTAATTCATTGCTACATATATTTATGATGAGAACCATCTATAATATGTATTTAATCCATTATTCTAACATTATTATATACATGCAAAATAAAAAGAAACTTATCATTATATAATAATTTATCAATTTCTTAAGCACAAAGACGTGTCATCAGAGTTTATTAAAAGAACAACTACTTTTGGCTTATTTTTTATATTATGATTTTTCACATTAGCAAATACGTACGTACGTACGTACATAATAACATAAATACACTCATGTTTGTACATGTGTAGATAATGTACTATGTATAAAAACTCTTTTTTATTTTTATGTAATTTTTTAAAAAGTTTTCACAATAAGTAATAATACAAAGATACTTAAACTAAAGCATTTTGGTGGCTAGGGGCACCTATAGCTGAGGTCTTCCTAAACCAAAGATATGATTTCGTTTCAACAGTCTTGGATTCCTTTTGTTAACTCGGAAAGATAAGAACAAAATTCATGTCGGTAAAGTTACCACTGACATGTGCATGAATAGATACTAAATAAATGCATCCCCATTGTTTGACGAACACTATTTCATGCATTTGTTATATTAATAATTGTATGACTACGAAATGTTTTCACATGTCATGATAGTGTTGTTTCCCCTACGATAACTTTTTACAAGTTAGCTGCATGTATCACCAATTTACAAACTGATCAATGTAAAACTGCTAACTTGCATTTCTGTTTGACAATAGTTGTTGACACTATTTATGATCTCACAGTGAATGTAAACACAGGAGATAGTTTAGCAATTGGAACACTGTGAAATATATTGGTACAAGTAGTCGTTCTAGCATTTCGAGTTCAGTTTTATGATGCAAAAACTGGTATAAAAATACCATAAAATTCAAACAAAAACAACTCCACAGTAATATAGATGAATTCTGGACATCCGTAGTTGACATAGAGCGAACGTCCTTGTATAACAGAAATCTAGAAATGTGTCCATAGGACACGGGTGCCCCCACCGCGCCACTATTCTATCAATCTTATGACTCTAGGTCAAATATTTTTTGAAAACTAAATTTCTTTTACTAGGTAAACGGCAATAACTTTACAAATAATGAATAAATCCACAAGCAAACACAAAGGTGCATAAGTACCTTGCTGACCAACATTCTTGTAAACTTTCAAGCCTACAAGTGAAATACTTTTTGAGCTATGCATGAACAAGTTGAAAATTGCAAATTTATACTACTGTCAGTCAAGGGCAATAACTCTAACAAAACTGAAAAAAAATCCACATGCAAAGTCCCAGGTGCATAGCTTCACAGTGATGTGAATCATTAGTCCTCTAATTTAGTGATTTTGATCATTATTCCTACAAAGTTGGTTGATTCTAACTCAAGCACTCAAGGAACAAATAACAACATAATGAAAAGGTTTTTACTAAGTCAAGGGATATAACTCTTCAAATACTGGATAAATCCACAAGCAAAACCCCAGGTGCACAACTACATATGCTGAGCAACCTTCCCGTGGGGTTTAATGACTCTATGTCCAATCCGTTTTGAATTACATGCGACACAAGTTGAAAATTGCAAAAAAATTCTAAGTCAAGAGCAATAACTCTAAATATACTAAATAAAAAAATCCACACGAAAATACCCAGGTGCACAACTACACATGATGATCAACATTCCTGAGAAGTTTCATGACTCTATGTCAAATCCTTTTTGAGTTACATGCGACACAATTTGAAAATTGCAAAATTTTACTAAGTCAAAGGCAATAACTCTAAAAATTCTAAATAAATCCACACAAAATACCCAGGTGCACAACTACACATGCTGATCAACATTCCTATGAAGTTTCATGACTCTATGTCAAATCCTTTTTGAGTTGCATGCGACACAAGTTGAAAATTGCAAATTTTAACTAAGTTAAGGGCAATAACTCTAAAAATACTGAATAAATCCACACAAAAATACCCAGGTGCACAGCTGCACATGCTGATCAACATTCTTGTTAAGTTGCATGACTCTATGTCAAATTCTTTTTGAGTTACGTGCGACACAAAAGAGAACGGACGCACGGAAGGACGGACGGAAAAGGGTAAATCTAAATGACCGCCACTAAAGTGGGGGCACAAAAAGCGCATCTTGTGGCTTTTAGAGTTCTGTGTTATACTTGGTGATATATTTTTGGGTTTACTGTCGATATTTGTTGTCGAGGACTTGATTAAGTGAGAAGGCATGGCTCGTAATTCAAAATCCAAAAATAAGGGTCTTCAGTAAGATCTTCTGGTGAAGAATGTTGGCAGGTAATAACAATGGTAAGGCAGGTAATTACAATGATATGACCCTTCTGTGTGACTTCTAAAAAAGCTGGTTCTGCTTTGCTTGCTCATAGATGAGTTCCAATATTTTCAATGCTTTTACCAACAGTAACAAGAGGGTCACGATGGCCCTGAATCGCTCACCAGAAACAATTGCTTTTCAGTCAAAGATAAAAAAACTACCTAAGAATGCTACAGACAAAGTTTGGTGATCAGCCATTAATTAGTTCTGAAGAAGCAGACGTTTAAATATATTTCTATTTTTAGCTTAAGCGGCCCCTTAAAGGAGCCAATAAAATAAATATGAGCAAACTTGATAAAACACTACCTAAGAATGCTACATACACAATTTGGTGTTTATCCATCAATTATTTCAGTAAAAGATGATGTTCAAAGTTTTTTTTTCTAGTTTTAGCTTCAGCGGCCCCTAAAAGGGGCCAATCAAATTAATATGAGCAAACTTGATTGCATACTACCTAAGAATGCTACAGACAAAGTTGGTGATCATCCATCAGTTAGTTTTGTAGAAGAAAACGTCTAAAGGTTTTTCTATTTTTAGCTCTAGAGACCCCTAAAAGAAGTAAATCAAATTAGAATTAGCAAATACTTCCTTAGAATACTACGGACAAATTTTGGTGATCATCCATCATTTAATTTAGTATTAGAAGATGTTTAAAGGTTTTTCTATCTTTAGCTCTGTTGACCCATAAAAGGGCCCAATTGAAATGGCATGAGCAGCAAATTTAAGTGTGACTGTCACAAGAATGCTTCAGACCAATTTGAGGTAATCTGCACATCAGTTTAAGAGAAGAAGATGATTGTTGACGCATGACGCCGGTAGAAGGACGCCGGAGTATCCCCCTTTGATATAATAGCTCACCCTGAACTTTCGGTTCTGGTGAGCTAAAAATGAAAATGAAATAATGTAGATGGACCAACAATGTTGTATTGTATTTCTGGGTATAAAAGAGTAATGGCAAATCTACCGTCATTAGAAAATACCAATTCCAAACTAGAAAAAAAATCAATACGAACTGACAAAATTACAACCTTAGAACAAAAATTACTCGACCTGATGAGCAGAAAGTTACATCTCAGTTCTACGATAAGAGGTCCCAATCAATTAATAGTGACCCTTGAGTGAAACTTTTAGCTCTAATTTCAGTCTAGTAGTGAGCAAAATGAAAAGTAGGTTAGATAATTAAATGTTTCCTGCTATGGATTGTAGGAAGCAGCAACGGTATCCAAGAGGATCGTAGATCCGAGGATATTAATAGAATAAATAAGGTGTATCTCCATGTTATGAATTTACCAAATATTAAAATTCAGAACTCATGTAGGCTTGGCCAGTTTAGTTCGTTCTGAAAAGAATGGGCCAAGAAAAATGACCTATTAAATCAGTTGATTTCAAACATAGATTTCTAAAAAGAGCCCGTATAAATATTAGAAATTCTGATGAAGAAATTTGTTATGTCATGTATTTTCAAAGTGATTTAACATGGAAACAGAGGGAAGATGCTTATAAACTAAAGGTTAATTGTTTGGTTTGTATGGCGCACCAACACAATATAGCAGCAAAACAGGACAGATAATTTGACTTTTCTCGGGTGTTACAAACGTACAGCAACATGAACTTTGAAAGAGAAAGAAGAGAGAATTAGGTTCTACATCTTCTTAGTTGCGGCATATCGGAACATAAGGCCATCAAGCCGAGCTTGGGGAACAGTTGAGTGCAATTACTAATAATGAGTAACAGTACATTTATTATTTCTATTAATTTTTCGAAAAAAAATCCATCTAGTTCAAATTCAAACTTATTAGTCCAATTATTGAATTCACACATTGTACATGAAGACGATACTGTACATAAATTAATAGGTTTATTTTTCTAATTATAAGGAATATGAGTTTACAATTTCACATGTAACGAAAAATCTAAAACGCGACAGGACAAATGCATTACTGTCAGAAACTTTGAAAGCGAATCTGTTTTTCACACAAAATGATTGACTTTTAGCAAAGAAATGTCATTTGGTTAATTCCAAAAGCCCAACAAATGTCAAGATTTTAGTCTATGAAACAGTTTAAATTATTTGCAGCTCTGGCCTTTAATTGTCTTTATGTTACATATTAAGGTGTTTTTGTCACCGTTATTTTTCTCCACTATCTGAAAACTACCGTCCTTGAACAAAGAAATATTAAGTTTGACAGTTTAATAGCAATTGTTTTACCTATTTTGTATTTTTTTGTTTTTTATCTATTTATTTTTTAGCTACTTTTAAAACATTTGGCCATGTCTTGGAAAACATTTTGTTAAATTATATTGTCTCGATCATCCTAATTAATTTATTTACTGTACCTGTCTGACATATTAACAAGCTATTTCAAGGGTAAACCCTGTGCATACCTATGTTTTCATTATGATTTTCATAAACGGCCCTGACTTGTGAGAATTTAGAGGTTAGAGTTACGGGGCCCAGCTGAGTAACTGTGTACTTACCAAAAAGAATCAGTGCTACTGAATGACTATTATACTCAATTTTTTAATAACCCCAACATTACAAATCGTATGTTTTCAATGTTGAAACACAAAATTAACTAGCATGTAATAACATGCTATTCAATGTCGCATGATTCCATAATTAATACATGGAAATTATCACATTAGTTAAACAACCTTCATTTAAAACAAGATATTTAAGTATGATAAGGAGGGGGCTGTATACATGAGGAATGCAGACAAGGAATGAAATAGGTAAAAAGGAGAAGAAAGCACAGTTTGATATAGCTGAAAAGACGATTATGTCAGCTGTAAATCAGATGACTGCAGAAAATGCCAGGCAGCAACGTGAAGAACATGAGGTTAATGTTTCAAAAAGGATGAAATTATAGACTTACAATAAAGCCATTGTGAACTAGTTATTATAATTGGGTTTTGACTCATCTTTGGGAAAATATGCTTAAGCTTTATAAAACATATTTTGTTTTTCAGCCATATTTGACTTTATTTTATCTAATATATAGTTAGTGAAAAATGTTTACAATTCATTTTCATTACTGACATGATTTACTTAAGTAATTATCATGATGTATCTTTTGTAAACTTGAAATACAGTCACTTTTTTAGTGTTCACAGAAGACCTATTATATTCGGATCAAAACTGCAGCTACTGTGACCTAGTTTTTGACTCAAAATTACCCTTATTTGAACTTGATCTATATTTCATTGAGACAAACATCTTGACAAAGTTTGATCATGATCCAATCAAAACTGTGATTGCTAAGAATGGGTGAGTATTAACAACCCAAATGTTGATGACAAATGACGCACAAAGCATGATGACGGACACCGAACATAACCCCATCACTACACCTCACCATGACCACTTCGTGGTCAGGTAAAAAAAGCTTGTGGAAGAAAATTCCTATAAATTTAACAGTTTATCTATCAAAAACTTTGAATCCACTATACTGTCTATAAATACATTTAATACAATTTCTTGCATTCCTGATATTGGGGAAGTAACAAATGAGGAAATTGACTAGATTAACATCGCCACTATATACACATTCCTTTTTCTTGTAACTTTTGTTCATCAGTTCTTATATTTTGCTTATTGCATGTAACTTTTTGAATGCTTTTATATAATCAAGTCACTTATTAGTTTTTAGTGTGTCATTAATTCATTTTTCATGTTTTTCTAGTTCACATATGGGAATGTACTATCCTTTTTAAACTTTTCTCCAGATCAGTTTTCTCCAGCTCACTAAGGAAATTTGCGATTTCATATTCACTTTCTGTTTTTATGAAGGCTGATATATGTTGTTAATGTCTTTCACTTTATGTTTAACGTCTTTTAGAAAACTTAGTGCCAGCCATTTATCTTCAGGTTGATAGTTACAAGGTGCGTTCACATTAGCAATATACTTTTCCAGATGAGGTCCAGAGTGCTTGAAGAAATCTGCCGTAAAACCAAGTTCCATAATCTCATCTGGAACACCCGAACTGCAGTATTTAAAGTTCAAAACCAACCAAAGAGTGATTATTGTTTCTATTTTTAAATATTCATCTCCTAGGAAGAGATCCAGACAAGGGGTTTCAAGAAATATATCATTCTCAGAGTCATATAAACAAACTGCAACCTGGGATTTAGACATTGCAATGGTTGGAATTAGGAAATTGTTCAAATCAGGATGGTTCTTCTGTTGCAAAATGAAAACACTATTGTTCTGGCCCTTATTTGTTCCTTGCACATCATCATCCTCTCAGATGGAGATTTCACATCAACAGAAGAAGAACAATTTTCTGCATCTGGTAAGTTGGGATCTTCAGTGGCCACAGTCACGGCAACATCCATCAGAATGTCAACTCGTCCATGCCAGTAAGATGGACCACCTGAAGAATAAAATAAAACTTTTACAAACAAGGCAGACATGACAGCCCTATATTGCCCTACCTGTCTTTTATAATTCTAAATGATTAAGTATAGATAAGAAGTATTTTACTGTAAAAGTATCTAATTAAATGTAATCATTATGTAAAGTACAATATTAGGGGCGTGATGCACGTATTCATTATCCCTCATATACAGACTAAAACCGAGTCTGCAATTTTTATGTAATTTTGTGATTAATGCTTACAAGGGATCACTTTGTTTACATTATTTCATGAAAATTTCAAGGGGGGTAATTCTGATAATTTTGGTGCTAGAGTTAGGAACCTTATCACACATGATGGTTGATGATCAGGAACATATATTTCAAGTTTGAAGTTAAAACCTTAATTAATAAAGAAGTTATAGTGAAAAAAGAAATTTACTGCGAACAAACTTTAATCAGAAAACTGGACTCGGTTGCCAACACAAGTTGAGTAGGACAACTCTCAATAAACTACCTAGAGTCCAGCCTAAAATGATGTGCATAATCTTTAAAGATGCAGCGTACCATCTATCCATTATTTCAAGTTTTATAAATATATATTTTCAGTTCTTTTCGAGTAATCATAAATATTGTTATTTTTGCTATATTTTAAGTATATTTGTTGCCATAGGCTAGCAACCAAATATTTCAAAATTGGAAGAAAAGAAAAAGATGTGCATAATCTCTGGACTACCATCTATCCCTATTTCAACTATTTTCAGTATTTTTCTGTTATCAACGGATCAAGTTTTTGTTTTATTTTTGCAATATTTTAAGTCTATTTGTTGTCATAGCAACAGAATTTTTAACATAGAAATACAAAGAAAAAGACAATCATAATCTCCAGACTCAGGGTGATAAGGCGTTTACCACAATTTTTCCGCGCAACGTCAAAATACCACACTTCTGACCGAGACACTGTATCTTTCTGTCATACAAAATGGATGTCAAGACTGCATACGACAAGAAAACAGATGATAATTTATCCAAAACAATGTAAAATCATCGAATTTTTCATTCCATCGAATGTGTCACTTAATTTGAAGCTTATTGCTCTTTACTACATGCAAAATGCTTCACTATCTAAGTCAAGATAGTGAAAACAGTTGGGGCATACTGTGAAAAATATTGCTTTGATTGCGAAATTTAAAACTTTCTAGTACGTTTAGTTCATATGACTCATCGAAATGCAATATAGATATGTACATAATTATCGTTTGAACAAGTTACACCATTTTGATATCCTGTTTTTTGTATAAATGGTATGATTTCATGTTTCCACTTGCATACTCTAGGCACCGTACAACTTGAACAATAGTAAATTGTGGACACTGCATTAATCGTCCTTAAATCATTGCATTTCTTTTCTTTTCTTTTTTTTCCTGTAACGTCTATAGACGAGAGATATTTACATATGGGGTTTATACATTTGAAGAAATTCGAATTTTTTTTTTATAAAATATCAACTTTCTAATCTATTGAGACCATTGCACTTATCTTATTGGTAATTTGGATTTCGACCTTCAAGTCTTCCATAAAATAAAATTTTATTAATAAAAGAGAACGTGAACAGTCTTCCTTCAAATAAAACATATTGTAAGTTTCTTTAAAAGTATGGTGCAACAGAAAACAATGCTAGTTATTATCAGTCAAACGGAATAAAAATGCCGTGTTAGAATTCAGTGTTGTGCGGTGCTCCAATATGCATCTCAGTTAGACTTTTTGCATCACATATTGCCAAAAATTTACAATAGAAACACACCCTTTTGTGTGGAACTTTATTTTATGCTTAACCATTACATATATACGGCTGGTCCTGTCATAGCAAAAACACATCGTCCTTAAAGCCCAGGTTTTTGTGATAAGTACAAGCCATGTTGAGGTCGACATGACCTTTTGTAAACACTATTTCTTCAAAATATGTGATGTTCTGTGAATTGTGTTGTGCTAGATTAACGATGAAATAATTCAAAAACTTGATGAAATAATTAAAACGTTGAAAAAAGTTTGCAATGTCTAACAGTAAGATGTTTTATAAGCTATTTCCTTCAATTTGATTAGCCCACCATAACTATTTTGTCCAGATAGATACGGTGTCTCGGGCAGAAGTATGGTATTTTGACATTGCGTGGAAAAGTTGCGGTAAACGCCCTATCACCGTGAGACTGCCATCTACTCATATTTCAGTTTAGTATAAAAAAAATTCAGTTCTTTTTGTGTTAACACGGGATGTAAATTTGTGGACTGATGAACAGACGGACAGGGGGTAAACCTAAAGTCACCTCTGATTAAACCAGTCAGTGACTGACAAGGCAGAGTAATAGTGTTCTTTGCCACTGTACTTCTCTTACATGCAATTTGCATATACAGGGTATAATTTTAAGCTTTTTGTCAGTCACTTGTATGGTTTTAGAGGTATGCTCTGGAAAAAAATACGAGGGAAACTTTTCAAGAAATTAACTTAAGGGAAATACATGTAATTAAAGAATGGTACCAGATAGACTTTAGGTTCTTAATCAGTACATGTTGATAGTTTTAAAGTTATGCATTGGACATAAATATGAAGCAAAGGATGGCTGACAGACAATAATTAGGTCCTGAAAGTTCTCCCTGGGTATCACTTATGCTATTGTAGAACCTTGGGAACCTCTTAATGACGCCACAATCAAAAGTTAGTATCTTGCCAGTTACCTATAGATGTGTCACCAAAATCCCATGATAATCTTTCCTTGCAGCCACAACCACAGCATAATTCTTTAATCCTCCCTTTGCTAAAACTGTGACTGTCTAATGTATACTTGGAACAAACAGCAAGCTTTGAAAGTAGATGATGTGCCACAATTGTAGTCCATTCAGCTCCACTGGTTTCTTTTCTGCCTTTAGAAAGTGCTTTCTCTGACGAGCCTGAAAACACAGATGAACAATTAAAGGCTAATAGATGTTGTCCGTAACTGGCAAATGTGGGTTTTCCCAGCTTATCCGTAGTTACAAATAAACTTCTACCATTATAGCTTCACAATGTACAACCTGTCACAACAATAAAGTCAACCTGTTGCACTTATTTTCGAAGCTGTAACAGTAAAAGCTTGTTTATACCCATGGATAAGCCAGGAAAACCAAAATATTCTTACTTCCGAAATAGGTCTATTATGCCTCAGACATGTTATCATTTTCATTTCTCAAAAACATTTTTTTTTATTTTTGGTTCCAAAAAAACACTCATTTGCCATATACATGAATTGTCTCTTGATCCTTCAGGTACATTTAAGTATTTTGTATACTTTTTTGTTTACATTTTGCTACCTTTAGGACACATTTCTGCAAGTTCAGCCATTCTTTCTTCAGTTAATAAAACATCTAACACAATCTATTATTAAAACATTATTCAACATATGTTTGGCATGTCAAAAGTATTAAACTACAGTTAAACTTTGTTCGCTCAAACTCGGATCACTCGAATACCTCCCTTCATTCGAATTCATCGCAAAGTACCGGCAAAATTCCTATTAAATATATATTGTTCTACCTCGGATCACTCAAACACTGATCCCTCGAACTCTCGAAACCTGATCGCTTGTCCCTTGGGCAGAAATATAGTTAAAATCACACCTTTTCGGGCAAACATAAAAAGAAAACAAAAATTGCGGGTCGACATGTTCTAAATGACAGCCTTCGACATCTTGTGATGGAGATAAAGGCAATTAAGGTTAATTGATACAAAATTAGAGGTGTTGTAACCGATTTGTTTGTTATGATAATGTTGTTTATTTGCTGTCTTTAGTAACTATAAAATGAAAATAACTCATAAAGGAAGTGAAATGTGCAAGTCAATAAATAGTTCACGTTTATCCGGAAGGCTTTAATTACAGCCGTGGTGTTACGTGAATATCTATAGAATGATACATCATACTTGTTTGTGTGTTTATTTTAGTAAATGACTACAAATAAATGCTGCTGTTAAATGTTGTGTTTTTTTAATATTTAATTAATTCATTGTTTAAAATTCATTTTATCCCATAATACACATATTATAAATATATTTTGAATATTGTTCAACAAGATTGGAAATTGCCCAATCTAACTCACCATTTACAATGATTATGCATGAATATAGATTAACACAGTGTATTGTTAATACTTATTTGAAAACACTGGGATAATAATTCTTAATATTTAAAAGAAATGATGTATTCCATGAACTGATGTACTAACAAACAATCATACTGACGTATTTATCATTCAGCCGGTGTAAGCTGGAGAACGTTTAGGGCTATGTCCTACGTGATAATAGTGCAACCTCGGTTGGCTCGAACTACCGATCTCTTGAACTAATTTGCACAGAACCTTTGAGTTCGAGCGAACAAAGTTAGACTGTATATTGATTTCTGAGGCATAATGTGCCTTTAAGATTTCCCCCAAATGAACAGCCACTTACACTTACAGCCACAGGCCCCGCGAGGGCAGTAGCTCTCTTAGATACATGTATGACGTGAATGTTTGTTTGTGTAATTGGGGTTAATGTCACACCGACACATTATAGGTCATATAGCGACGTTCCCGCTTTACTAGTGGAGGAAGACCTCAGACGCCTTTCCGTACATTATTTCAGGCAAGAATGGGCACCTGAGTAGAACCACTGATGTTCCGTAAAGTAGCAGGATAGCTTCCTCACATGAAAGAATCCAAAGTTCCTGCTGTGATTCTAACCCAAGCGGTTAGGGGCATGCAGTTTGAAGTCAAAGACCTTAACCACTTGGCCAAGGACGCCCCTGTAAGTGAATAAATGTGACTTTTGCTAGAAGGCGCCTGCCAAAAAACATTTCCGGTGAAAGAATGATGTACAAAATCAGAAAATAAACATACATGTATATATTTCATTGATAAGAACTATTAAATAAAGATGATAAATATAAAAGGTTACATTTACATATCCTTTTTGATAAATCAACACTTTAAAAATATAACGTTATAAACAAGTAAAACAACAACTGTGATTTGAGATTAACTGAAATGGCAGACAGGTTTTCCTAATGCCAACGCAGTGGTTCCCCTTTGCCTCGCTACCCAGAGCGTAGCTAATCAAATGACTGAGAGGTGTTCAGAGATTTTCATTAATATTTGGAGCACTCCGATGATAGGTTGAACACCGCCAATTTATTCGTTTCTGTTTACACTAGAAAATATGTGCATTTACTTATTTACAAAGAAACACAGATATTGACTAACATAAAATATAAATATTAATCGCATTTTATACACAATGTATTAAATAATTATATTAAATAATTTGAACTCTTCTTTTAGATTCACTTGAGGAAATAGTTGAGTTCTTAAGGTTTTTTTAACGTATGTTCATCTGGGGGTCATTCAAGTAGACACTCCCCGATTTAACATATCGACGAGAATATCGAAAATATTACAAAACTCGTATAAGGACATAATTTTCAAAGTTAAAACATTGTCGATTTGAAACCCACCAACCCCTAACAGCGTCGTTCCGTCCATCCGAGAACCACCAGGAACTTTGGATTTCAGTTCATGTAACTTTAAAATCAAGTCGATTGGTCTGGTTTACATCAAGTTGAACACTAAACATGTAATGCTTGAATCATAAATCACAAGAGCTTTCCGCGCCATAGGTAGCACCTAATTTCATATTAGCCAGGTGAATAATTTTGCAGTGAATCATTATCAATTTGGATGTGATATACATCATGACACAAGGCCCCTTTTTTCCATACCTTTGTCTGACAAAAACTTTAGCAACTTTGCCAACGCCAGTCTTGCGCCTCTTGATCGAGGTATTCTTTCTGGAGATTTGATGTAATCCTCCAACATTTTAAATCCATATTGAAATATACCACGTATCTTAAATCCTTCCGGTGCAGAAGAATATTCTTCACCGGGTTTACGAAGCTGATATTCACAGTCACAAGTTGCTCTAGAAAACTTTTGGAACTTAGAGCATCGCAAATTTTTATCTTTTAAAATTCCAACTCCATAACCCGACAGACTACTTTGAAGATATGCTTATGCATGTTCTAATGTTTGCAAATGATTTTTATGAAACGACATAAAATGTCATCATGCTCGTCTCTTGTTTTCACCTTTTTGGCTTGCAGCCACGGCTGCAAGCCATTTCATCTGGAAAACTTGTTCCGGTTAGGTGGTTTCCTGCTTACATCTGTTGGTGCATGATTGAACGGGAAACCAGCTTCAATCGCGCCAATCGCAACTTTTCGGCCTTTTCCGTCAGTCTTCGGATTAATGATAATAGCCGAAGTAGTTCCGATTGCAATCGTGACAATTCGGGCGATTCCGTCATACTGCGGAGTAATATTACGGAAATCTAAGCTATTTTAGTTACTTCGGTAATCCCAGTTTGTGTATATAAATAGGATTTCTATTTTTACTTGTTTTATCGGTATAAACGAAATTGTTCCGTTTCATTGGTTTTTCAAGACGCAAAGTTAGTTTCTTTTATAATTGTTTTTTTTTGTCTGTATTAGTTTTATACAATAGAGAATGGTGACTGTAGTATTATTCCGTCTTCAAAGGGTGGTCCTGCTTACCAAATCACGCATGATCGAGTTATATTTAGATCTACTGAACGCAATTCAACCTCTTGGTGAGGTAATCTAAAAATAGCCCATGCATATCATTAACCTTGCCACGTGCTGATCTATGTATCATAGTTGATACATGCTTATTAATTGGTACCACGTAACGAAGTATTTTAGTGCATATACTTGTCTATAAAGCAAAGGAATGATTTCGCTGCGAAAAAGGGGAAATGAGATGTGCACACTTGTTTTCCTTCAGTATCACGTTAATATTTTTACGATTGATCATTTTCTTTATTAGTTTTATACAATAGAGAATAGATCTAAATCGTTTTGACAAAAAAATATTCGGTTTTCCAAAAAAAAACCAACTAAATAAACCCTTTATGATATACAAATACCGTGATAATAAATTGAAACCCCCCAAAAAAGAACAATTTTAAAAGGAAACTTTATTTGTTGTTGAACCATTTTCAGATTCAATGGGAGTCGCCATATTGTCGGTATGGTCTAAGTTGCAGACGCGGACAGGTATAAAACCGCGGCGCCTCTCCCATTTTTGTCAATAAAACTGAAGGAAAAAAAACGTGCACTCTTGTTACATTTTTGTTCTCAATCAATTTTAATAATTTTGATATCAAATGAAAGATTACTTAAAAAGATTTCTAATAATGCTTTAAAAATAAAAAAATAGGTAAACGTAGCAAAATATTTGTTTTAAAGCTTATCAATTTTCTCCGTCAAACACTCTCAAATCCGGTAAAAAAACCCAGCGCACTCTTTAGATACTTTATTAATTAATCAATTAATTTTCAAAGGTTTCCTGTACAATCAAAGTTAAGAATATAAGCTTCAAGTGTAGTAAAAAAAGATTTTTATTTAAAATGGAAAAATACCTAATTATAATTTACCTGAAAAGTATTGATTTCGGACAGGAAATCTCGATCTTATAATCTTATAAATAATGTGTAACTGACACATTTATTTTTGTTTACAATGATCTTTTTTGAAAATTATTTTTTCAGTGATTGCAACAAAAATTGTAAATTGGTTGTCTTTGAATTTTAGGTTGTGAATAAAATTACTTACCAGAAAATCTCAAATTCAGCGCTATATATTTCTAAAGAAAACAGGGGGTTGAATAACAAGTTCTTGCAATAGTTATCATAATCATTTTGTATTGATCAAATAAATGGTTAAAAAAAGTTAGTAATTTTCAGTTGATGTATCTAGTGATAAAAGTGTTGTAACAAATGCAATAAGTAATATATGTTGCCTCATTTAATTTGTGTGTACATGTACATTGCGTAAATTAAAAGAGTACGCGTGTTTAAATATTTTTTGTTTGAATGGACATAATTAATATTATACAGCTTTTTAACTTTTATTTTGACCAATGCCACTGAAATCTTGCCAATTAACCGTGTAATTTAGTACGGCAATAATTGGTTAGACAATTTTTGAATGAATATATAATTCAAAGTACAAGGGTTAAATGAAAACCATTTTATTTTTATTCTATTTTTATTCAATTTAATTTGATTTTAATTCATTTTCTTTTCTTTTCTTTTTCGATAAACCGACTCAAAATTCAAAACTATTGTTTTGTATTGTTGATGGATATTTGTTGATGGAAATGTAAGGTCAATACAAGTTTATTTCTTATTGATCTAGAAGGGCTTACACCCATTAAGGACAAAAGCCCCCCCCCCCACACCGGGACAAAAGCCCCCCATCTAAAAATGACACCGTGGAAAAGCCCCTCCCCATGAAATTTACACGTAGGACAAAAGCCCCCCATCAAAAATACAGGTAGGACAAAAGCCCCCCTCCCCGTCCATCAAACAATTGTTATTGAGAATCTCGCCAGTTTAAATTCGGAACTTGATGTATGGAGACAAATCAAAATCGGTATGTTTATTTTAACAATTAAATGCAATTGTTTTAAAAGATAATTTACATTTAGATTTAAATTTAAATTTACTCGATTAGATTTATTTGAAGTAATCAGTCTGGTCTATAAACCTTAGGGGGGGGGGGGCTTTTGTTTGAAGGACTGGAGGTTTTTTTGTCCTACCTTTATTTTTGAGGGGGGGGGGGCTTTCGTCCAATGTGTAAATTTCATGGGAGGATTTTGTCCACCTTGTCATTTTTAAATTGGAGTGGGGGCTTTTGTTCGGGGGAGGGGGTTGTCCTACACTCTACAAATACAAGTATCAAATTTATACACAATTTGGAACTTTTAAGTTAAGTAAATAAGCAAGAGTACAAAATTTCCTATGGATTGGTCTAGTATACTTGACAAAGCCCTGCTTTTTTACTATCCGGTTCCATCAGTATTTGTCCAAGGATCAAGTCCATCTACCTTTGATCATGGGGTAATTAAAACGAATTAGCAAACAAAACACGTGTTTATAGGCAGTACATCCGTGATCGATTTAAAACATTTATGGAAAGTGCATGACCTTCCATTCTTTGGTATGCGTTTATAATTCTATTCTCCATTTTTGATATCCGAGCTGCGGCATCAATATCAATTATTCTGTAGAAAGTAATGCCAATTAGTACATAACCTAATGATAGGTAAATACAAATTTGTGAAGGTCATTGGAAACTGCTGTAGGTGTCGGTCTAGTGAGATTTCGATCATCCTATATTTTGTAATAAATTAGTCACATTTCAGCCTAAATTCTCGATTTCACAATCCCTGATGGATGAGATACACACTATCATCATCTCTAATTGGGTCCGAAGTATAAAATGTTAGTCGTCATTTAATCAGAAATTTTCAAGCTGTTGTGTAACCGTTGAAATTGTACACTATAAAAAGTCTTGTCTGCTAATGCGTAGTACAATTTTAGATCTTAGACTATTCGTACAACAGAATACGTTAGTTCTATTATTTTCTTTTCAGGATAATTATTCTCACTGTGAAAAATGACCCAAAACTGACGTTGCAACGCCTTTCACTCAAATGGGGCATAACATTATGTTTCAAGTACCCCAGTTGATCTATGTCTGAGAATCAAATTTTATGGGGATTTTTAAAATACATTTTGGACATCAGTGGAGTTCCTTTAATGTGTACAAATGCAATACGCGTTCATTCGTGTGTATAAGTGCAATAAGTATAGCCATACTAATATCATTTACGTTAATCAGATAATCCGCTTTCTGATCGATTGTTATGAAATTGGGATATATATATAAACATAATATGAATATTCACTTTGATAAAAATAGATATATTTATCTGTATGTATTTATTGAGATAATTATTATGATTGCCGGTAAGTGTTATTATTTCTGTAATTTTGCATACAAAAAAAATATATATTTGCTGTCATCTGCAAAAGGAAATATTATTATTAACGGTTGTTTCTTATAAACTACAAAATACATTAAATCATAACAATATTTTTCATTTATGAAATTGCGCTGACAAATCTAGTTTTTAGCTTTTAGCTTTTCAATGTCTGAATACAGAACAAAACCAGATTAGGAAGAATCTACAATTTTCATAGTCTTTTCTAAATGAGATAAAATGTTGATGAAAATAAATCAGAAGTTTGAATTAATCTTAAGTAAATACGACAGCAAACTCATCACATTTGTTTTATGTTTATCTTTGAAAGTATGCTGACTAGAATTAATCTCTGAAACGGTTAATGCGTCGTTATTTGCTTAAGTTATTTGGGCGATATTGATACAAGAAATTTTGAATCTGTCGCAGTGATTGTGTTCTGCCTTCGCTTATTGGGGCAGAATCTTTCACAATGGGGAATATCTAGATATAAAAATATAAGAAAGTTTAATCCACTTTTCCAGCTTTTATTTAATTTGTTAACACATATATTTTAATCAGGCAGAATGATCAAATACAAAACATAATAATAAATTCTAACATATCAATGAAAGTAAGTTTTACATTCATTTACTTGAATTGCTTATAAGACAAAAAATAGATATTATTCAAATATTAAGTAACATCTTGTTACCTAAAGTTTTTAACAAAGTTTTTAACATAATTATATTTTCTAGTATTCAAAATAAGAACAGCCTAGTGTTCTTAACTAAATTTAGTTGTTTAACAAACATTTACAAAATGTACATAGAATAAAATACAACTTACCTAGATATAAAAATATAAGAAAGTTTAATCCACTTTTCCAGCTTTTATTTAATTTGTTAACACATATATTTTAATCAGGCAGAATGATACTGCCAGCTGGAAAATGGATCTTTTAAGGGGTTCTCTCACTGTCCATTGGTTTA